CATTAAGGTAAGCCATTTCTTTTCCCTCCAGGAAACCACAGCCTAGAGTTCTTTTAATATCAAAAGTGCATGCAGAGATAATACTTAGCTTTAATATTTTTCCTTCTCTAGTGTTTGCTTTGTTTTCCTGGTAACCCCATGCGTTCAATGAGAGCCATTCTTCTACTCAAAGGAAACATTCTGTCTTAAAGCTACAAAATTCAGTGGTTCAGTACAGCATGAACTTTGAAGCTAGCCTGATCCAAGTCTCAACTTCCTCATTTAGCCATGCTATCTTGGGCAAACCACTTCATCTATTCCAGGATTCAGTGACTGTAAAACAGAACAGGACAGAAGCAGTAACTTCTTCATAAATCCTAATCATGAGGATTAAATGAGAGACTGTTCGTAAACCACTTAGCACAGTAGCTGGTGCTACCTACGTACTAAAAGAGCTGCTATCATTTCTACTTTACTCTTATACCACATCTAAACACACACAAAATTTCTCCCATTCATGTGGAACCAGTTTGCACATTAGGATGGAAACAATTTGAGGATTAAAGTATTCTTGTTTCATTGTTCCTACAAAAGAACAAGGGAGACGTGGGGAGTTGAAATAAGCACCTTACACAGTTGAAATGAAAATGCAGGTCAGACTCCATGGCCTTGCATTTTTGCACACAGTCCCGTTGTGCCTCGCTAAGGGAACCAGAAACATCAGTTCCCTTAGTTCACAGGCCCAGCGGGGCAAACATATTTATAGCGGGGGCCCTAGTGCCAAGAAAGCTATTGTTGGCACACAGCACACAAGCCAGACGCACTCGTTAAATGAACCAGCACCAGCTTACCCATACATAAGTGCATGCCTCGCCGCATCTTCCTTTCCTAAAGGAGGGAGGAGGTGTTAAGGGGGAAAAAAAAGTCTAATAAAATATTAATATAGCTTGTACTGTAGCTTTGAGTTAAACAAAGGCACTCAATCCACAAGCAAGTTTCTTCCGGAGAGAAAGGGGAAGCTCACATTTTGAGGAGTCACGCCCGGAAGTGCCATTTCCAAACGCACTGCAGTGCCCCTGCTTTCCTCGGCCTCCTGCCCTGCCAGGGGCGCCTCCGGCCCTGGGCCTCTCGCCCCTCCAACCAATACACAGCCCCCCACACCCAAACCTCCAACCCCAGGCCTGCCCTTCCCCGCCAAGGCTCCGAAGTCTCTACCCTTCCCTTCTCTCTCCACCTGCAGGCCCCTTGTGCCCGCTCAACGCCCGACCTCAACGCCCGACCTCAACGTCCAGCGCCTAACGTCTGGCCCCCAACGACCGAAGCCCCGGAGCCCTCCTGCAGCCCCTCTCCCACCCTCGTGCGCCTGGGAACCCTGACCTGGAAAGAAGCGAAAGGGCCACTGACCCCGGCCTGTCTCGGAAGCCTGGCCGTGGTGGCGACTGCAGCTGCCCGGGAGCCCCGCCGTCTACGTGCGCTGCCCGAGCTCACTCGGCCTCCAAGGCCCAGCAGGCCCCCTGGTTCCAGCGCGGCGCCTGCGCAGTCGGCGCCCACGTGCGCCCCGCGACGCCCACGTGCGCCCTCGGGCTTCCTGGGAAGCTGCGCTCTAGCCCTGGGGGCTGCGCTCTGTTCCCCGAGGCTTGCGCCGCGATGGGGTGCGGAGGCTTCGGGCTCAGAAAGTTCCTCGGCGGAAACTATCTGGCTGTGTGTTCCAGCTTCTTCTGGAAAGGCGTCCCTGGAAGTCTGTGGGCAGGCAGAGCTCAGAGATGCACACCTTGTGTCCGCGAAAGTCACTTGGGTCGCCTTAGCCACTTAAAGGTCTTCCACTTAAAGGTCTTTCAAGGTTTTCCGAATTAGTCCCCTGCCTCTGCCTGGTCTTGGAAACTGCATACACATGATCTCTCAATCTCTCTGTCTCTCTTTTCTGACTGAGGGCACGTAATTATGTCTGTTGGTGTTGGTCAAAGAAAGTATTTTTTAACTTTTCTGCTGTGGAACTTTTCTGACAAATTCAGAAGAAAGGGACCCCAGTGTACCCGTCACCCAGTTCCAACATTATCACTTTATTATCAGTCTTGTCTACATGTGTGCCCCAGTCACTCTTTGTGCAATATTTTGAAGCAAATCCCAGATTTATGCCTTTTTTCTTTTTAATATATTTTTAGAACAGTTTTAGACGTACACAACAAATTGTAAAGAAAGTACATACAGAGAGTTCCCACATAAGCCACATCCAGTTTCCCCTATTATTAACGTGTTCTATTAGTCTGATACATTGACAACGAACCAATAATGGGTATATTGTCAACTAAAGTTCATAGTTTATTCAGATTTCTTTAGTTTTTATCGTCCATTTTCTAAGCCAGGATCCCATCCAAGATATCACATTACATTTAGTTGTCCATGTATCCTTAGGCTCTCCATGGCTGTGGTATTTTCTCAGACTTCCCTTGTTTTGATGACCTTTACAGCTTCCTGGAGTACAGGTGAGGCCTTTTGTAGGAGTTTGTCTGTTTTTCTCATGATTAAAATGGAGTTATGGATTATTGGAAGGAAGACCCCAGAGGTAAAGTGCATCATATCAAGTGTACATTCTATGAACATCATTTATGACAATTGATGTTGGACTTGATCATCTGGCTGAAGTAGTGTTTGTCAGGCTTCTCTAGTAACTCCTCCCCCCCCCCCCCTTCCATACTATTCACTGTAAAAGGAAGCCATTATTGGGAACACACATCTAAGGAGTAGGGAGTTATGCTTTGCCTTCCTGAGGGTGGAGTATCTACAACAATTATTTGAAATACTTCTGCTTACTCTTCTCCCTCATTAATTTATTCAATCATCTATTTATATCAGTATGGACCCAAGGATATTTATTTTATATTTAGGTTATAATCCGATACTACTATATTTCCTTGCTCAAATTGTTCTGGCTTTGGCTTCTGGGAGCTCTTTCACTTGGTTCCTGTTCTCCTTTCATATTCTGCATCAATGTGGGGCTTTATTTTTGTTTGCATTTGAACACTTTCTTATCTTCTGGGATATTGTATCTTTTCATCCATAAATATTTAAGTATGTGTCGTTAAGAGATTATGACTTTTAAATAACATTCCAGATAGTCTAAAATGTTATTTTTAATAGTTGGTATGTTAAATTCAGGATTAAAACAAGATCCTGTATTTTCACTCAGTTTTGTATTTTAAAAATAAAAATTTTTTAAATCCTGTACTTTTCTTGGAATTTACTGATTGAAATAACTGCAATTCTTCTCACATTTGATTTTGTTGATTGCCTCCCCTTTGGCAAGAATACCTTACAACTGGTGTTGTGTTTCTCTATTGCAGCACATCGCAAGATATATAATGTGCAGTTGTTTCACTTTATGGGATATTAAGATTGATCTAGTAAGTTCAAGTGTTGTCAGCCTGCTCCATGCATTATAAAGTTTCCCATCAGCTTTTCATCTAATGGATCTAGATCCACATTACCTAGATCCATTATTTCATTAGGGTTTGTAAAATGGTGATAGTCTATCTTTCCTTCTGTATTTATTACATGGAATTCTATAGAGAAGAACTTCCCCACAACAACTTGATGGAGTCTACTAAATTTTATTGGGAAATGATATTTAGAGATCATAGTCTAGAGAATAGAGGCGTGCATTAGGTTGGTCATTGTTCTAGGCCTTTACAGTGGACAGACTTTTTAATGAAAAAAATGTACCATAAATTCATTCTGATATTTCTAAACTCAAATATAGGATTACAGAGTTATTTAATTTCTTTGGTTTATATCTGTGTTTCTTTTATAGTGAAAAACTTGGTTCCCAAAGACATTTATGCTTTATACTAATTATAAATTCAGAAATACTCAGAAAATCTATACCAATGTTATTACTGACACTATGAATGATGAAATAGCTTAAGGTTTCTTCGATTTTTCCTCCGTTGGATTAATATATCTCACTAGAAATGTTTGGTCGATTTATTGCTTTAGAGTCAAATAATTTTTTACTGTCACAGACACTTTAACTGAAAAGTGTGTTTTAATGTAGTACCTTCTTTTAAGGAGGGTAGTACCATTTCATGTTGAAAAGGAAATTTCGAGGAACAGAGTTACACAGCGTTGTGTTTTGTGGGTTTTTTTTGTTTGTTTTTGCCAGCAGTTAGTATCAAAGAAGCTTAATAGAATGGTAGTAAGTTGTACTTTATATACTCTTGCATTGAAGACTTGTGTGAATTAACTGTTTTCATTCATGAGTTGTGCATAAGAAGTGCTAAACCAAAGAAATCGTTTCACTGGACGGAGGAGGTTTGCAAAACCTCCACAGACGAAAGCTGCTCGCCTTCCTTCTCCGGACCCAGGTAGGCAACCGTATTCAATACACTTTTTGTTGCCACGCTGCGTGCTGGGACACCCAGCCGAGAGAGGGCACCCCCTGCCCTCAAGACGCTCACAGTTCGGTGCTGGAGACAACGCACCAACAGTTTATTATTAAACAATGGCAGTAGCACCACGCTGAAGATGTGAACTTGGTGTTAATGGAAATCCTCCGAGGTCTCGCCCAAGGACGAATTGTGTAACCAGCAGGTAAGCTGCTCCCGCTGACTCCACCCACGTTAAGTGCAAGGTGTGCGCGTCAGAGCCGGAAGAGCCACAATTTGGAATTCTCTTTTATTGCTTTATGCCCCTGACTCAACTGAAGGCAGGCCAAAGGGTGAGGAGGCATAACATCCAATGAGCGCTTCTCACTGAAAGAAACAACCTGCCTGGGTTGGGGAGGGGCGTGAGAGGCGGGACAGGACTGAGGACGGGACAGCCGGCTTGCCAGGTTCGCGGGAGCGTAGGTGCCCAGCTTGGGTAAGCGCCGGGCGGGGCCTCCCGGGGCCGCGAGGTAGGAGGCGGTGCTCCTCTGGCCCCGCCCACTGCAGACAGGTTACCGGTAACCTCAAGGTGCGCGCGTCACGCCGCCTCCGCCGCACTGATTGGCTCTTCCAGGGAGCCCCGCCCCCTCAGCTGTAGCCGGGCCGGTTTCAGCGTCGCCGCCATCTTTGTTGATGTGTCAGCTCAGCGGGTGTTTGGGGAAGCTCCCGCGGAGAGAGCGAAGTGTCGGCCCTCTTCCTAGCTGCTGTCTCTCCCTCCCACTCCTGGTCGGGCGGCCCCCGCTATGAAGAAGTTGGCCCCTGAGCAGGAGCTCCAGCGGCTTCGTTAGGGCGTGGCCTGAGGCTGGGAGAAGTGCGGTGAGTGCCAGGGGGGCTCCCGGGGCGAGCCCGAGAGCCGCGGTGCCGCCAAGGGGCCGCCAACCTCCTGTGCTATCCTGCGGGTCCTGGGCGGGGGCGAGCCGGTCCCCTGCCTATCTTCTCTGGGGGCGGAGGAAGGCAGGCGAGGGCTGGGGCACGGGATTCGGAGCCCCCTTCTTCTCCCTGCCTCCCTCCTTGGGGTCCCGGGCCCCCCAAGGGAGGGAGGCAGCACCGACAGGTGAACAGGGATCGTGGGGGCTGTGCCTCGAAAGCGAAGGAATTTGGGCCTAGGTTACGAATGCGAACTGCAGCTAAGCCCCACCTGCTCGAGAATCTTTCAGAGACTCAGTCACCTATTTTGCTTTCCGTCTCCAAGTTGTGTGTGTATGTTATGTTTCCTGTTGTGGCGGCTTGTTACCCCCTTCCAAACACTTCCATTACTGTGACTTTAAATTCCTTAGAAATGATTCTTTGGGGTTACGGATAAGAGAGATACTATTCTTTGTTTTTATGTTGACTTCTAAGGACATCAAGACATTTTATAAACCGTGGTCGGCAAGAAAGGAGTTTCTAATTTATGTCCTCATCAAACGTGTAAAATGGTAAAATCTTCCACATGTCCCCAAGTAGCAATCCTGGGGAACAGTGCAGGTTTAATTATTGCCCAGCTGTTAACAGTTTTACAACTTAGGATAATATTCACATTTTGATTTTGTTTAGAGGAAAATGGCCTTGATTTGTTGTCAGAACACCTGGGTTAGAATCCTTATTTTTTTCACTTGCTAGTCTCGTTACCTATGGGAATTGGAGGAGAGAGTATAGTAAAAATATGCAGTACAGTCCCAAGTACTAGACAGTTTTCTCTGCATGTGTGTCGTGTTCCTTTGATGCTCACTTTTTTTTCTCTTCCAAAACGATAGTTTGGGTGATTTTCAAAAGAAAATGTAGGGTAAATCAGGGGAACAGTGTTTCAGTAGAGTGCTGGTAGCCATTCAAAAAAATGTATTAAGTGGTTAGGTATGCTAGTTGTGGGTGTGACCTTCCCAATTATTAACTACACCTTCATATTTGCAGAGTGTTCATCTTGTAGGAAAGATTAGGTTCAAGAAACATTGATAGTGAAACTCAACTATCTGTCTATAAAGTACAGTGTTACCCTTGCATCTGCTTTTCAATTCTTTCTCCACTGTTACACAAATAAAAAACAGTGATGATTGGCGTAGTTCTTTTTTTCCTTTCTTTTTGGTCTTTTCATGTCATTTTAAATTCATTAAAGAAATTAAGTAGTTCACAAATCTTGCAGTATTAAGAATTAAAACTCCTTTTTACAGTGTAATAGGCAAACATATAGTTACTGAAGAATTCTCTTGGAAGCGCATGGATTGTGTTTATATTGATTTTATTTTTTTAAAGGCCTAGTCTAATTCAAACTAACTGCATATAAACTTAGGGTTTCTTTAAATGGTGGAGATTCCATAAAGTGTCATTGGCATTTCAGAGTTTTATTGCTAGCAGAAAAGAGTGACTAGTGTGTAGCACAGTGACCACTCTAGCTTTTAGTTTCTTTACCCATAAACTAACAAGGTTCCCTTTGATGCTATACCATGACAACATAGCTGATGATGGTTGCTTAGTATATTCAGTTTAGAAACATCTATTTATAGCTAAATGCTGACATCATGGATCGAAGGTAAAATAATGCAGCATACTCTGTAGGAAAGATGATAGGTTGAAGCACAAAGTAGCCTTGTTTAGAGGTTTAGAAAATCATCTTTCTCTTTGAAGAAGAACTAGTAATCTGTACTAGTTTTCCAAATTCATCCAACAGTTTCATATTAAAGTAAGAATCCTAAACCTGAAGTTCTGGGTTTTTTGGTAAAACTTGGGTTTTTCTTTTATCTCTTATCTCTACCTTTAAATAATTAAAGCTGGTTCTTGAATTTCTCATAAACATGCCACTGGGCTTACACTGTTGTGAATGTTATATATTTAATATTGTAGGGGCAGCAGTGAGATCCTAGATAATTTAAATCTATAAAGGATCCCCTAATGTTATGTTGTTTCCTACTTTTTTGAACTTTCTCAGCTACTGAGATTTTTAAAATTTATTTGAGCTAAGAAGTAAATAAAAGGAAAAATAATGGGGTGAAGAGATGATAGACAAAAACTGGAATTCAACCCCACAATAGTTTTGATTGGATTATGAGTATATTATTAATATCTGCCATTAAGACACATAAAGTGATAGTCTACTGTAGGATTGATTATGTAGTAAGTGCTAATGAATAATTTTTTAATAAACTACATCATCAAATTAACCAAACCCAGTCCAAAGGTGGCTTCAGAATTTAAACATCAACCAAAAACCTTTAATATTAATTTAGGTAGACTCACAACTTATCTTTAAAAATCTTTTTATGAGTTATTAGCCTTCCTTTTTCAAAAGAACTATTGACCTATAAATTTTTTCTTTTGGTTTTCAGATTTGGAAGAAAAATTAGCTGAAAATACTTTCATGTTTTCTTAGACTCATTAAAGTGCAAATATCGAGATCTACATGAGTAACTTCAAATTAACATTTCTGTATTTATAACATTCTGCTTTAGTATTTTAAAAATTTATTAGAATATGTAAAATTGCATGGATCTAAGATACCAAACTGATACTACATGTAGATATAACTTGATAGATAATGTGCTATGAGATGTGGCCACTGACCCTCTTTTTCCTGGAATCTTGACAGACCATATAATTTCTTTCTTCTGTTATCCTATCACAGGATTTGGTATTATTGGGGGTTCCAGTTTCACCAAATCTATTCCCCTGAGTCTTTTCTTAACATTTTTGTGTGGGGGATATAATGTATACACCATAAAATTCACCGTGCCCTGAGTCTTAGGTATAAAGCTAAACAAACCCCCATGGGGTTAATTTGACTTTGGGCTTATATAGCACACTTTTCAAACTGTTTAACTAACGGCAACTTTAAAAATTTTAGTGCTATGTTTCACTTAAAAGAAACTCAGTATGTTACATTTCATCCCAAATAAGATATGACTACTTTAAAAATTATTTCTTCCTTTTTGTAGAACTCAAGTTCTCTGAATAGCCAGCTCAGTATTTATCTTTCAAAATAATTTAATCTGCATAAATTCACATTATATGAAACTTAATTGTCATATATTTCCATCATGTGAAACAAGGTTTCCATGTTTCTCATACAGATTCTTTTTCATCCTTTATTCTATTTTTAAAAGGTTTTTCCAGAAAAATGTCTTTTAAAGTAAATCTTTATCAAAAATCAGGCTGGGTGCAGTGGCTCACACCGGTAATCCTAGCACTCTGGGAAGCAGAGGCTGGAGGATTGCTTCAGTTCATGCCTGAGGGAGAGCTCCTCTTTACCAAAAATAGAAAAAATTAGCTGGGAGTGGTGGGCCACCCTGTAGTGCAAGCTACTCCTGAAGCTGAAGCTGGAGGCTCTGACTGGAGGTTGACTTGAGCCCAGGAGTTTGAGGTTGCAGTGAGCTGATGATGCCACGTCTACCGGGGTAACTGAGTGAGACTGTCTCAAAAAAAAAAAAAAAATCAGTTATTAGGGGATTGTGAACAGGGTATATTGGACTGTGTGAATGCTTCTTTGATTTGATTTTTGCTTCTGACTTTAATTGCCATGTCATTCTTTTTAGAACTAGTCAGAAAGAAAAGTCATTCTTTTAAAGAAAACTTTTGACAAACATCAGCTACAAAGCACTCCTGTGGAGTGGTCTCACAGGCTCAACTTGCTTATCTTAATGGATTTTACTTGAGAAGTATAAAGCTGGTATTATTTAGGACTTGAATGGTGCAGTTTATGATTTAAAAATTTATAGTTTGTACCCTCATAATACTCTGAAATAAAAAAAAATTATAGTTGTAAATGTTTATGCTGAACTAAGGTTTTTCTATTAGACTTAAAATATTCATTGCATGTTTTATATAGCTTCTGATGCAGCACTGTCAGACCTCAAAGTCAAAATATAATATTAAATACGATATAATCTGTAACAGTTTACTGTTTATTGACAGCAGAAAACAAGGAGTGAAAGATTTGACATAGAGCTTTTATATATTGGTCTGCTGCACAGAATGTAAGCCCCATGTGAAGTGTCTGTTTTATTCCCTGCCATATTCTCAACACTTACAATAGTGTCTGCATGTAATATTTACTCAATTCTTATTTGGTGAATGAATGAATTAACATCTAGTTTGGAAGTGTATGCCTGATTTGGTATGAGGCTTGTTTGTTTGATGATTTATTACCATATACCTGTGGATTAGATTCCTTTGTATTTTGCAGTTTATTGAATAAACCTAAGTTTTTTGTTGTTTATAGTACTAATTTGTAGAAAAATGGGAAATAGAACCAAAAGCTGTTAAAACTGTTTTCATTTATATGGCTCTTATATAGAAGTAATTTTGTAGAAATGTGAGTTCTTTAAGAAATAAAATCCAAGGTGGATAATGATTGCCTTTAAGGCAAAAAAAAAAAAAAATTGTTTCTTGACAAGTTGCCTACAGCTGATGAGCTCCAGTAAGAGCGAAACCAGTTCTCACCTACTGAAACAATTTTGAAGTGTGAATTGGTCCTGTAGTACTGTGTCAGAAACAGAAACAACTCTGGGGGTTAAAAAAAAAACAGTGCTTGAATTAAGAGGAATTTTGTTACTCTGCTGTTTTAAATACAGTATTTCCCTTAATGACTAAGAGTTGCTAAAAAGTCAAAATAACCTGTTATTTTTTTATCTCAAAAAAAGCTACATAGATTGTACTCTGTTCTTGTAATTACTATATATGAGTGTGAATTTGATTTGTGCAAGCACTTCTTAAATTAAGACAATCTTGTAAACAAATGTCTAGTTTTATAACTTCCTCCTTTAGTCTGCTAGTAGGCTATTCTATCCTACTACTTATAATTTCCTCCTTTAGTCTGCTAGTAGGCTATGCTGTCCTCCCCACCCCCTTCACCAAAAGAAAAAACTTGGATAGCAATCAAATTGGCCTGCATCAGCATTGCTAACTGGAGGCCTACAGTAGGACTCTGCTGACTGTTTTTTCTCCTGGTTAATCATGGACATAATCATGCTGATTGCCTTTTTTTTCCCTTCCATTTGCCACCCCTCTTATGCAGTTTTTAAATCTTTGGTAATGGCTTTGTTACATATGTACACATAAATCTTTGTTAACTCCCTCTGCTTTTCCTTTGGCCTCCAAACAGTATTCATTTGAGCATCAGAAAACTACGATTTTGCAAGCTAAGTGGTTATCAGATGCCAATTTACATGATTATTTTTTAAAGGTCATGGCTATATTGAGAGAAGTTATAGAAAGTACTTGTCTTTTGAGCTTAATCTAAGTCTTCCTTAATTTATAGGAGGATAATATGTAAAATATGTACAATTCTAAGCTTAGGTAATTATATAAGTAGTTTTTTTTTTAATCTAGGTGACTGTCTTGTAGGATTTGAGACAAATTTTGTTGTTCTGCACATTAAAAGTCTTCTTACAACCTGTTTCCCACCTACTAAATGCTATTTGGTCCCCAGATCATTGTGCAAATCCAATGGGTCCTACCCTCATTAAGAACCACTGGACAGCATTTGCAAAAATGAGTGCAAATGTAGTAGAGAATATATTTGTTAGATTTATTTGTCTATTACTATTATATTGTATGAGACTTAAGGAGTTTGATTCAGCTCACAGTGAGGTGGTTCTTGCAAGTACAAAGACCATTTATGCCTGTCTGCAAATGTCACAAGAAAGGCTGTATGTGCTTGATGAGTATAAATGCCTTGTCTGTTAATTTACCTAAGAGATTATTTTTGTACTTGTGGTGAGGGAAAATTCGGCGGAAAATATTGCATAAGAATTGGTCCTTTAAAATAATTTGGCTTTAGATAGACTGAAGGGAAGAACATTCTAGGTGGGGGCAAAGCCATGGGGAATTATCTGGGGAATCCTGAGTAGACTGGTCAGAGTAATAAAGTATAGTGAAGTGCTAGGATTTTAGGAATGTGTTGAGATATAAGATTGGAAAAGTAGGAAAACTGGTTTATTGAGGAATCTCAATCCCAGGGTGTAAACATGAAATAGTTTTATTTTTTGCTTAATTGGCCTCCAGTCATGCTGTGTAAAGCACTCTCATCCCCTTAACTGTTCTCTGAAGTACAATCGCTTGCGTTACAATTTTTCTGCCACTTTTGGTTACTAGAGAATACTTATTCCAGAAATTAAGACAGGTTCCAGGCGTTTAAAAAAAAAAAACAAGCGAAAAAACCTGAAGTCACAAACTTATTCTCCCTGAAGAAAACTTGAAGCTGTTAGTTCCCATCTGCTTGGCTTGAAGAAGGGAGATAATTAAGACATGGCTCCCTTCTTTCTCTAGCTAGCCCCTTTCCAGTTGGGGGAAGAAGACCAGCCAGCAGAAGCAGAGCGTTCATTACCTGAACTTCTGAAAGAGGGAAGGGGTGGCCCCGGCCTCACTCTGGTTCATCTGGGCTGAATTTGATGGTGGTCTCTGTGGAGGTAGCATGAGTTTTGTAGGGGCACTCTTGTAGCTCCCTGGCCCTGTTAGCCACTGAAGAGCCACTTCATAGGGCAGTCCCACTTTTGGCAGAGCCAGTAAAGTACAGACTTCAACTCCTCCTCTGGTTTGGATGACCTATCATTTGCCATGGTACTATCTCAACCCTGGGCCGTCCCAAGAAACCTCCCCTTCCATTAATCCTCCTTACTCCTTCACTTGGAGTTGCAAGAGAGAGGAATAAAGTGAGATTGAGAAACCAACAGTTTAAGCCTTCCAGGTATAAAGTGATCAGAGGCCTGAGTAAGGTTGTAGGTAGGGGACAGTGGCTGTAGACATGCAGAGACATGAAATTGTTGAAAGAATATGAGGGCAAAGAGAAAGGAGTCAGATGACCAAGAAAAACAATACTGTTGACAATAGAAAAGATAAGCTGGGGGTGCTTAATTACAGGAGCTGTAGTTATGATTTTGGATTTGGCCAGTTTGTGTTTGAGGTAATGGTAGAACCTCTAGAGGAAATGCCCATATTCAGATGGAGATTTTTTTTTCTTTAGACAAGAGTCTCACTCTGTTTCCCAGACTAGAGTGCCATCATGTCAGCCTACCTCACAGCAACCTCAAACTCCTGGGCTCAAGTGCTACTCCTGCCTCAGGCTCCCAAGTAGCTGGGACTACAGGCGCGCACCACCATGCCCGGCTAATTTTTTCTATTTTTAGTAGAAATGGGGTCTCACTCTTGATCAGGCTTGGCTCGAACTCCTGAGCTCAAGTGATCCACCTGCCTAGGCCTCCCAGAGTGCTAGGAAAGTAACATTCGTAAACATATTTAAATTCTAACCTTGTCAAATTAATTTTTTAGTGTTGCCTTTATTGACCTAGGCAGTGCATGTGGGTTCCATTTGATTTGCTCTGAACATTGTTTTATTCCTGATGAGAATGTTTGAAAATCATCATAGTACTTCCTGGAGCCATGCCTGGATAAAAAACCAATTCCTGCCAGGAATCCTTTACACCCTGACTTCCTTTCAGCTCAAATCTAGATCTATGGGCGGTGGGTAGCTGTGTCTTTAGTATTGTTTAGTTTTCCTTCTCAGTAAACTTTTTATCTTCATTAATGTGCATTTTTCCATTATCTTAGTTTGTGATTTCTCTTTTAATGTTTTCATTGTCTTATTTCACCAATATTTTCTTATAGGTTCTGGAGGTAATCTTTTTTTCCTCACAGAGCTGAAGATATTCTAAGCATTCTTTGGCACTAATTTTCCAGTCACTAGCATTATTCCTTAACTAACATTTTCTGGGGATGATTGAGGAATGCCAGACTGCAACTGAAATTAATTAGTGAAACTGTGACTGAAGTGAAGGAGGAAAGATGATAAGACTTTGCAGTGGCCCTGCTGTTGTAGCCAAGTTGGATCCATTGTGCTAGTCTTTTTTCGTTTTGAAAGGGAAAGGCTTTTAAAGAAATTAATAGTTTGTGATCTTAGTTATATCACATAATGGTGTATGTGCAAATATGTATAGGATCTTGGCTGAAAAAAATTTTTTTTAATTTTGATGTTTTGATTTTTTAGATGTGACACAAAGATCAGAAGCAGACTTGAAGAAGTGCAAAGTGAACTGGTGCCATTCAGCATGTCAGAGACAGAGAACATAGCCTCCATTTCCTCTGATAAAAATATTGGGAAAACATCTGAATTAAAGGAAGACTCATGCAACTTGTTTTCTACTGATGAAAGCAGCACATTAGAAAATGAATCCAAACTATCATCATTAAACTCTGATAAAACTTTATGTTACCCTAATGAACATAATCAAATTGAAGCCCAGGAAAATTATATTCCAGATAATGGTGGAGGTGAGGATTCTTGTACTAAAACAGACATATGCCCAGAAAATCCTGAACAAATAGGTAATTTTCCTAATGGAGATTTTACAAAGCAAGTTTCAAAAACAAATGAAACAGAGCAGACAGTAACGCAAATATTGGAGAAATTAAGGTCATCTACATTTACAGAAGCAGCTAATCAAAAGACTTATTCAGAAAGTCCCTATGATACAGACTGCACCAAGAAACTTATCTCAAAAATAAAGAATGTTTCAGCATCAGAAGATTTGTTGGAAGAAATAGAATCTGAACTCTTATCTACAGAGTTTGCAGAAGAACACCGAGTACCAAATGGAATGAATAAGGGAGAACATGCATTAGTTCTGTTTGAAAAGTGTGTACAAGATAAGTATTTGCAGCAGGAACATACTATTAAAAAGTAAGTTTTTTATTCTTTTAGGTTATTTTTTCACAGTGATTAGAGATTGAATTCTTTAAAGTGTCGTCATGTTCACTTTTAATTCCACACAGAAGCCATGCACGTAGTAGTTGAGCAAAAAATGTGTATTTACTGAATAAATGAACAAATGTCAAGTTTTCCTAGTTATTTAACATCTAAGTCTAAAGGAATAAATATTATATAGGGTAAATTCATTAAAGGCCTAGAAATTTTCATAAAGACAACTCAAATTTTTTATTTTTGAGAGAATGTAGAAGTATAATATTGTCAAAACTAAGAAATTCAAAAGGAAATGAGAAGTCAAAATTCAAAAAAAATTTTTTCAGTCCTCATTCTAAGTTCATTAAATTAAAATTTAGAGAACAGAATTATTTGATTATTCAATAATGAGAACATAGTTATTTTTAGACTTTTCTTGGATTTGTGAATTCTGTTTTAATATTTGTATGGATATACCATATTCATCCATCTATCAGTGGACATCTAGGTTCCTTCTATCTTTTGGCTATTGTGAATATTGCTGCTATGAACATGGCTGTACACATATCTCTTCAAAACTCCAAGGCCCTTCTTAATACTATCCCAAAACTAACGCCTGCTATTCCTGCTCTTATCTTTACTAGAATACTGCCTGCCATTAGGTGAATTTATGCTTGAAACATCCATGCTTCTGCTGTTCTTGCTTTTTATGGGGTAACATCCTCATTTGCCTGCAGTCTGTACTTACTCTTTTAGACCTTCCCCTTGAGATTGTCTCTGATGTCTCTTCCCACTTTCCTTGGATCTGGACTCTTACCACTTTCTTACTTCTCTTGTAAATTATAAATGTTGTACACTTAATAATAATAGCAGCAAACACTTATATGTTGTAAATTATGTGCCTGGCACATTAGATACATTAACTCATGAAATCTTCACAACTTTCTGAGGCACGTACTAGTATCCTGTTTTACAGATGAAGTAAATTAAGCACAGATTAACTTGTTCAAAGTCATGTGCTAAAATGCAAAGTTAAAATCTGAGCCTCATCAGTTGGGCTTCAGAGTTTTGTTAAATGTGATTATCAGAAGTGCACTAGTTATAAGTTGTTAAATTTATCTAAAAAATATTAGAAATATAGTAGAAAACTGATTCCTCTATTTCACTCCATCCTATCAGAACAGTGGCAGCAATGGGCCAGTGAAGTTAAGCATAATTCTGATAGATGCCTGGAGTTGGAAGATTCGCACTGCCATTTGCAAGCTCTGTTGTGTTTTCCAAATCAACCTCTGAGTGAAGGATATTTTAATCTAAATGAGGACAATATCTGATAGAACCATTTTATGGCTATTAAATCATTATACAAATGTCAGATATTTTAAATCTAGGTTAATCTTTCATTATATACATTTTTAATTCCAAATAAAACGGTTTGTGATTCAGATCACCTCTAAAACAGCTACATTTTTTTCCTTAACTTTTGCCTTCATTTAATATTCTATGAAGAAAACTACCTTTCAGTTTCTTTGAAATTTTCATGAATGCATCTGTTTCCAGATATCTTTGGTTATATATACATTCCCCTATTATCTTTTTTCCCAGCTTTACTTGGGTATAGTTGATAAAATTGTATATATTTAAGGTATACAATGTGATGATTTGATATGCATTGTGAAATTATTGCCACAGTCAAGTTACTTAACATATCCATTATTTCACATAGTTACCTTTTGTGTGTGTGTGTGTGGGTGGGTGGTGAGAACACTTAAGATCTACTCTTTTAACAAATTTCAAGTATACATTGTGGTATTATCATCACTTTGACTATTGTCACTTTAACCAACATCTCCCCTACCACCATTCTGTTCTCTGTTTCTGGGCCTCTGTTTCCATTAAGAATGGTTATCTTATTTGGCATATAAGAAAAACAATTTGAGTGCTTACTACTCTTCACTTCCCCCTCTCTTAGTTGTTTACTTGTGACCTATAGCCAGGATCTTGTGTCTCATGTAGTTTCCTGCACCATATTGAGTATACATCTTAATCACAGAAATAATCTAAGTTAAACCACTGTGTGTAAAAGACTTGAATGAACTTGCATGGGTTTGCCTCTTTGCCAAACATTTGTAAGATTTGCATCCTGACTGCATTCCTCAGATCTACCACCACATCCCCAGAGAGGCCTGTCCTGACTACTTATCTAAAATTGCAGCTCAAGTTACTGCTGTCCTCTTGCTGTCCTTTATTTTTCTTAATAGGACTTAGTTACTACCTGACATTTTATGACATATCTATCTCTTTATAGGCTGTTTTTATTTTCTCCCTTAGAACTGTGGTCCTCAAGCCTTGGGCCAGTGGGCAAGCGAGCAAATGTCATCTGTATTTACAGCTGCTCCCCTCCCCATCGCTGGCATTGCTGCCTGAGCTATGCTCCCCTACACCCACCTCTACACCCACCCCCATCCCCAACCCCAGTCTGGTGCCAAAAAGGTTGGGTATCACTACCTTAGAATGTAAGCTCCATGAAGGCAGGGCTGACATAGCCCTCACATACAATAGGTACTAGTAAGCGTGGTTGAGTGAATCAGTAATCTTCAAAGTAGAAGGTAGAAAGGCCTAGGCTTTGGAATTAGAACTGCATCCAAAACAAAATTCAGCCACTTACTAACTGTATAATTTGGTACAAGTTCTTGGCTAGTTTTGTTTTGCTTTTTAAAAATTGATTAAACAGAAATTATAAATTCATAGGTTTATATTGAATATTAAATGAAATGTACTTTTTTTAAAAAAAAAAAAAAGCTAAACTGAGCCAATAGTCAGTGGACAAGAAATGTTAGCTAATAGCTATTGCTATTAACAATGCTGGAATATTAGCTGTTAACTTTCTTAGGTACCTTATATTTCTGAGTACTTTGCGGGCAGTTTGTACTATTTCTATTTTTCTGGGGAACTTGAAATTTTTGCTTAAGCTCTTGTTAGTTTACATTAACTATTAAATATCATTAAAATATTTTAAAAATCTAAAGTAAGATTTGTCAACCTCAGCACTATTGCCATTTCTGGTCAGATTATCCATTGTTGTTATGGGGACTGTCGTGTGCTTTGTATAAAAGGATGTTTAGCAGCATCCCTGCCTAGATGCATCTACTCACTAGATTCCAGTAGCAACCCCTACCCTTGTTGTGACAACTAAAAATGTCTCCAAATGCCTGAAGGGGCAGAATTACCCTTGGTTGAAAATCACTTATCTTAAGGGTTCCAATACCAAGGGATATGGTTCGTAATTGAGATGCCCAAAAGTATAAATTTAGAAGGGTATAGGTTCTTTAACTGATTATATTTCACTTGATTGGAAATATACACATTTCTAGGAGAAAGTTAATTACCTAAATGGCCAGAGATTGTTTTGCACAGTATCATATTTCATTATAAAAGGATTGCCTAGGAATACTAATTTATTATAATCGTAGGTTTCTACACCCTAATCTGTAAACAGATTCTATTCTACCTGTCATTTTATCTCCATTTTTAATTATGTTTTACTTATACTACCCTTTTTGTATTTAGGTTAATTAAAGAAAATAAGAAGCATCAGGATCTCATCTTAGACATTTGTTCAGAAAAAGACAATTTAAGAGAAGAACTAAAAAAAAGAACAGAAACAGAGAAGCAGCATATGAGCACAATTAAGCAGGTAAAAATACACAAATCTTTAAAGACCATACTTCAATTTATAAAATAGATACATTCCTGAAAAAATGTGTATAAATTTAAGTTCCGTAAGAGAAATCATATTTTAAATGCAAAGAATTTCATGGTATTTAAAACATTCTACTTTACAAAGTAGAAATCATAGCCTGAATTATTTTCTTTTATGTAAATTTATATTTTTATGATATGCATGACTGCTCTGCTATATCTAATAAACATAGAGGGCTGTCCAGAAAGTATCCAGCCATGTAATATGAAAAATGTAGACATTTATTGAAGATGGTACAAGAAACGTACATAGGACAATGATGCTTCAGTCACCTTCAAAGTGGGCACCTTGGGACCTCACACACTTCTCCCAGTTTCTTTCACTGTTCAAAACACCCTGCAAAATCCTTTGTTGGAATCACCCTTAGTTGCCTCTTCCTATTGTCCTGAATCTCAAGTGTCTAAAATCTCTTCCCTTTCAAAGATGATTTTAGTTTTGGGAAAAGCCAGAAGTCACAGGGCGCCAAATCTTGGCTGTAGGGGGCGCAAAGCCACCTGGGTAATTTGATGTTTTGCCAAAAAACTCTGCACAAGACATGATGCATAGGCAGGCACGTTGTCATGATGAACCTGCCAATCACCAATTGCCCATAGCTGCTGTGGCCATTTTTGACACATTGCATCTCTCAACCAATGACAACGAACATTGAGGTAGTACTCCTTATTAATTGGCCTGGAGGAATGTACTTGTGATGGACAATACTTTCCCAATCAAAAAATACAGTTAACATGGTCTTGATTTTGCTGCAACTTTGCCACAATTTCTTCAGGCATGGAGAACCAAGTGACTTCCATTGGGACATCTGCGCCTGCCATTCCAGATCATAGTTGTAGACCCATGATTTATCTCCAGTTATAACCTTCTTGAGGAAATCTCGTTCATTGGTAGCAGTTTGAAGCAAGTCATTAGCAAAGGTAGCATGATGTTCCTTCTGCTCTGGTAACAAAAGGCCGTGGAAGACATTTTGCCACAACACGTTTTATGCCAAGATCCTGAGTCAAAATCTCGGACACAGTGATCCCCAGATTGGCTTCTGATTCTCACACTGTTAGTCACTGATCTTTATTGATTGCAGCCTGTACAGGTTCAACATTCTCAAGTATTCTGCCTGCTGCAGGCCTTCCAGAACATAGATCACTTTCAACAGGTTCTTAACCATCTTCGAAGCGTTTGTGCCACACTTTTATTTGTGCTGCACTCATCACATTGTCCCTGAAAGCCTCCTGAATCATCTGAATAGTTTCCACAGAGTAACATTCAAGTCTAACACAACATTTGATGCAGATTTGTTGTTCTACCTACTCGATCAGTCATTTTGAATGTAATGGCCACACAGTGTACACATGGCCACACATGGTCACTCAATAGCATCTAGCACCCTACTGGCTAGTACAGTGAGGTCATCATTGTTCACACATGCACATCCTGCTCTCCTTGGCTGCCAGGTTACATTGGTGTTGCAAAAACCATTCTCATATTAACGATGGGGCTGGATACTTTCCAGACAGACCTTGTATTCTCAAAATAATGGAAAAGGTGATTTGATTTGACAGACTGTTTTTGTCTGCAGGGAATAAGTAATAGGTACATAAAAGTTTTTATATCTAGCATTAGAATATTTTTAGGCTTATAGTTTAGTATGGTTCCATTCTCAGTATTCTTGTAAACTATACTGTGAAGAGTGGCTCTCATACTTTAGATTGTATCTGGTTAACCAGTTTTCCTAGCCTGTCCTTTGCTTCTCTTTTTTTAATGAACTACTCTGATGCATGGATCAGTAGGTGAATATTCAGATGGATAGCAAAGCTGAGCTGCTTTTTATCTTTCTGAGCTTCTTTTTCTTATATGGACAGGATTAGAAACATAGCTTTAAAAGTATTTCCTTTTGTCTCATTTTTCACAGAAAGTTATGTAACAAAAATAACAATAAACAATTGGTAATGATATAACAAAAAATTAAACCAAGTTTCATTTGCTTATGCCTTGGTATAATTAGTGCACCTTTACATAAGGAAGGTGCACCTTTACATTAGAAGGTGACTGTATTTATAAAATTGTATGTATTTCATCCTTTTTTAAATGTTTTAGGGCTACAACACGTAAACCAAAGGAGAATGTTAAAGTGTGAGGGCCTTAATGATAGGCTGAATCTGTATTTTGGTAGTCAGGTCACCGCTAATGACCAGAAACTTCAGACTAAACAGGATAGAAACAATAAGCTTCCTCTCATGAGCTTTTTAGTAGGTGTGCCTTTTTTTAAAGAGAAAATTGGATTCACCTTTCTTTTGCTAGCATTTAGAGAACTTCATACTTCTAAATAGAAAAACAGTGTAGCAGGATTTTCTTTCTTAATTTTACCTATAGATCTGTACTGTCCAATATGGCAGCCACCACATTGTAGGTATTGAGGACTTCAAAGGTGGCTAATCTAAATTGAGAGGTATTGTAATGTAAAATACATACCTAATTTAGATGATTTAGTCCCCCCCAAAAGTAAAACTCATATTTTCATGTTGATTACATATTGAAATGATAATACTTTGGATATATTGGGTTTAATAAACTATTACCTGTTTTCTTTTTTCTTTTTGAAATGTGACTACTAGAAAATTTAAAGTTACATGGATGGCTTGTATTTCCTTTGGACGATGTTGCTCTAAAGAATTTTTTCATAAGGAAAATTAGTACAAATGTACTATAAGCTAATGTTGAAGTCTTTTTAAACAGCTTTATTGAGATAAAATTCACATACCATACAGTTCACTTATTTTAAGTATACAATTCAATAGCTTTTAGTTATACAGCCTTCACCACAATTTTAGAATATTTTATCACCCTGACAAGAAACTCTGCACTCATTAATAGTTACTTGTCATTTGCCTCCAACATGACCCTTCCCACTCTGCCCTAGCAAACAACTAAACTATTTTCTGTCTCTGTATATTAGCTTATTCTGAAAATTTCATATAAATGGAATCATATAATAAGTAGCCATTTGTAGCTTCTTTCACTTAACATAATGTTTTCAAGGTTGCATTTAAGCTGTAGCATGTATCAGCACTTCATCCTTCTTAATGACTAATATTCCATTGCATAGATATACAACATTTTGTTTATCCCTACATCAGTTGATGGACATTTGGGTTGTTTTCACCATTTGACTGTTATGAATAATGTTTCTCTGAACATTCATGTACAAGTTTTTAGGTGGATATTTGCTTTCTTTTCTCTTGGGGTATACCTAGGAGTGAATAGAATGAGTTGGGAAGTATTCCTTTTATTTGAGGGGCAAGAATTTGATATTAATTCTTCTTTAAATGCTTGGTGGAATTTTACCTGTGTAGCCATCTGGGCCTGAAGTTTTCTTTTGTGGGCAGTTTTTATTGTTTTAATTATTCAGTCTCTACTTGTCATGGATCTATTCAGATCTTCTATTTCTTTTTGAGATAGTTTTGGTAGTTTTATGTCTTTCTAGGAATTATCCATTTCATCTAAGTTCATAGTAATCATTCATAATCCTTTTTATTTCTGGTAAGGTCACTAGTAATGTCTCTTTCATTTCAATTCTAGAAATTTGAGTCTTTTTTCTTTTTTTCTCATTCTAGCTAAAGATTTATCAATTTTGTTGGTCTTGATTGTCTCTGTTTTTCTATTCTCTAGTTCATTAATTTCCACTCTGTTTTTTATTATTTTCTTCCTTTTGTTGGCTTTAGGTTTAGTTTGCTCTTTTCCCAGTGTCCTAAGGTAGAAGTTTAGGTTATTGATTTGATATCATTTCTTCTTTTATAGTTATAAATTTCCTTCTAAGCATTGCTTTAAATGCATCCCCTATGTTCTAGTATAATATGTGTTCATTTTTATTCATTATCTAGTAGTTTCTAATTTCTCTTGTGATTTCTTGCATTGGTTATTTAGGAGTATGTTTAATTTTCACAAATCTGTGAATTTTCCGAATTTCTTTCTGTTATTATAATTTCACTCCATTATGGTTGGAGAACATACTTTGTATGATTTCAGTCTATTAAATTTATTGAGGTTTGTTATAACCTAGCATATGTTCTATTCTGGAGAGTATTCCATGTGCACTTGATGAGAATGTATATATACTATTATTCCTGCATATAGTGTATTGTACAGACATATTAGACTCAGTTGTTTTATAGTGTTGTTTAAGTCTCTGATTTCCCTGTTAATCATCTCTTTCTATCCATTATTGAAAGTATGGTATTGAAGTCTCCAGCTATTGTTGGCTTGTCTGTTTCCCCTTCATTTCTGTCAGTTTTTGTCTCAGTATATTGGTGCTATGTCATTAGATGCATATATATTTATAACTGTTACATTTTTCTGGTGGATTGATCCTTTTATCATTATAAAATATTCTTTTTTATCTCTAGTAATTTTTTATGTTAGTCTATTTTGTGTGATATTAGTATAGCCAGTGCTACTTCCCATGATTGCTGTTTGCATAGTATCATGATATATCTTTTGCCATCCTTTTACTTTCAATCTGTTTGTATCTTTGAACCAAAAATGCCTCCTATAGACAACATATAGTTGAATCATCTTTTTTGGACAATTAATTTTAGATTTATTTTATGCTGTTTTTCATAAGTAAAAGATATTCCTGTTTAGTCTTTTGAGTATCCCATGGATTTCTGAAATACTGTATATATACATATGACATCTCTGTAAGACTATGATATTTTATCTTTCTGGAACATGAACTAGGCACTAATTAAGTTTTGGTGAGCACTAAGTTTCAAGTTAAACTCTTTTTTTTTTTATTTAAAAAAATTAAGGGGGTACAAATGTTTTAGGTTACATGGATCGCTTTTGTAATGCTTGAGTCCTGGCTATAGGTGTGCCTATCACCCAGGTAGCATTTGTTGTACCCATTAGGTGGGTTTTTGCCCCTCTTCTCCCCTCTCTACCCTGGTTGATTTCCAATGACTTTTACTTCCCTTTGTGTGTATGTGTGCTCATTGGTTAGTTCTAATTTAATAGTGAGTACTTGTGGTGTTTTTCTATTGTTTAGATACTTAGGAGAATGGTTTCCAGTTCCATCCAGATGGATTGTTACAAAAGGTATTCATCTTTTTTTATGGCAGAGTGGTACACCATGGTATATACATATACCACATTTTATTAATCCCCTCATGAATTGATGGGCACTTAGGTTGATTCCACATCTTTGCGGTTGTGAATCATGCTGCAAAAAACATTCAAGCACAGGTGTCTTTTTGATGAAAAGTCTTCTTTTTCTGTGGGTAGATGCCCACCAGTGGGATTCTGGATTGAATGCTAGGTCTGCTTTTAGTTCTTTGAGGACTCTCCATACTATTTTCCATAAAGGTTGTACTAATTTACAGTCCCACCAACAGTGTATAAGATGCCTTTTCTCTCTGCATTCATGCCAGCATCTATTATTTTTGGACTTTTTTAATAAAAGCCATTCTGACTGAGGTAAGGTGACATCTCATTGTGGTTTTAATTTGCATTTCCCTGATGATTGGTGATGATTGGGATGCAATAGCAAAACTAGCATGGATTGCTTTTTCCTTCATGATTTCACAGTTAGAAGATGCATTCTTACTGTAGATCTTAGCAACCTCAGCACACAATTTTTTCTTTATTAAGTTGAGAACTTTCACCATTTCACTTCAAGGAAGCACTTTATGGCTTCTCTTTGGCATATCCAAATTTCCAGTATCACTATTCTTGTGCTTTAGGGCCAGCCATTATTAAGTAAAATAAGGGTTGCTTGAACAGAAGCACTGTGATACCTTGACAGTTGTTCTGATAACTGAGATGGCTACTGTGACGAACTTAATAAGAAATTAAGGCTTCCAAGTGAAACTAGTAGTTCAAGACCTTGCAGCTAAAAATACAATTCAGCAATACACAAAGAGATGGCCCAACAGATGGAACAGGTGTTTTTCACATCATTATCATTAACTTGACACTTCAATGACTAACTGAAAGGTAGCATATACAGCACAGATATACTGGACAAAGGGATGATTTACAACTGGGATGGGGTGGAGCAGGACAGCATGAAATTTTACCATGCTACTCAGAATGGCATGTGATTTAAAACTTATACATTTTTAATTTCTGGAATTTTCCACAATATTTTCAAATCAAGCTTGACCACAGGTAACAGAAAATGTGGAAAGCAAATCTGCAGAAAAGGAGGGACTACTATATTATTTTAGTTATTTCTTAGTGGATACTCTAGGGCTTACCATATACACCTTAAGTTATCAGAATCTCTTCAGATTTATACTAAATTCCAATGTGATATAGAAACATTGCTAACAGTTTTGATTTCCATGGTTGAATTATATTCATTGTATTCTTTATGTTTATTTACATTCTTTGTATTTATTTGAGGTATTGGGGTCTGGTATAGTTATAAAAATAATCTGGAAATAATTTTCTTTACAGTTAGAATCAAGAATAGAGGAACTGAATATAGAAGTTAAAGCTTCCAAAGATAAACTAGTAGCTCAAGACCTTGCAGCTAAAAATGCAATTCAGCAATTACACAAAGAGATGGCCCAACGGGTGGAACAGGTATTTTTCATATCATTCTCATTATTAACTTAATACTCTGGTGACTCTCATTTGTTAAACTAACCATGTTAGACTATTTTGTATATCAGTGGAGTATTGATAATAGGTCTTTTATTTATGTAAAATTAGCCTTTCAGAAAATGCTAAAGCAATACATAAACACATGCAAATTATTTAAAAAATTAATAAGTATATGGGATAAAAAATGAAAGTCCTTCTTTACCTCTACTTCCTCTTCTCCTGCCTCCAATCCCTATATATCCCATTCTTTGTTCCATAGCTTATTACTGATATTTTGGTTATGTATCCTACCAAATATGCATATACAAATCACACATGCTTGTGTGTACATAGTCATATACTCCCCCCCAACTTTATTGTACATCTTTTTTATAATCTGCTTTTTTTCCCTATTTAATATACCTTGGTAATCTTTTTGAGTTGGTATATATGATCTCAGAAGAGATCATTTTAAGCAATTGTTTTCTATTATTACTTGCCTAAACTCTTTAGGATGAGGTCTTTGTCATCTTCATTCCTGCACCCACAAAATTTAGCATATTTCCCAACTAACAATTAGTCCTCACAATAAATTGAATCAGAAAAGGTTAACTCACTGCTTACACTGCTAAATGAGATGAATCCCACCTTTTCTACCCTGAGGCTACTACTATAGGTGGCATTCTGGAAGAACTTTAGGAAATAGATTATCCTCAATCTTTACTTCCCTAATTTTTTACAATATACTGACTCTTTGCATTAGAAACATTATATTTAAAACTCTTACTATCAGGTCTCAATCCTTTTGTACTAATTGAAGGGAAATATAGAGCCTAACCTTAAGAAGTTACTGGTTTTAATGGACCCAAATGTAGCTGATCATTAGAATCACCTAGTAAGCTTTTAAAAAACCAATTCTCTGAAGCTTATTCTTAATATATATATAATATTTAAAAATGGTAGTTAGATGTGCCTAACAATTCAAACAGATAAAAAGTCTTCTTTCAAACATTTTACCTCCTTCTCAAAGGTAACCACATGGCAGTTTCCTGTGTATCCTTCCAAAACTGTATGTTGCTCCATGCCTTTTTTTTTTTAAACAAATGGCAATATATTATACTCATTACTATATATGTTTCTTCCCTAATGATGAAGGGTATAGATGACATTAATAATAGTAGATAATGTATTGACTTTTAGCTGTGTGCCAGGCCATGTCCAGAATACTTTACAAGTATTAACTTGTTTAATCTTCCTAACAATCCTAAGAGCTGAGTAGTATTGAAGTAAGTGTTGGAGACTGTTCCATTTAATTACTCATAGGTCTGCTTCATTCCTTTTTTCCCGTTACTTTTCTTCCCAACTTTTTGAGAATTTTCAAGCCTGTAGAAAAGGTGAAAGAATAGTATAATGAACACCTGTTTACCCTTTATCTAGAGTCACCAAACCTGGTAATTTTTATTTCAAAATAGATTCCAGGTATGTGTTTTCCTCTGTTCATGCACGCACATACATACCCACCAATTTAGTTTTCGAGGTTAAAGTTTCCTCATTTCATAGACCAGATGGGTAGAATGAATTTGAACCCTTAAGCTTACAAGAGGGTAGAGTGGCATTATAAATTCTCAAGGATTTTATAAGATTTCACCCACCCACACTCCCCATGGCCTCATATTGGTAAATGTCCACAGGGCAATGAAAGTTGTAGTGCTGGTATACCATTTTGTATTTCTGCTTTGTGTTAGAATTTTCAATTCAGTTGTATTATCACTTGGCATTTACCACTAGATGCTATTGAAAAGCCCTAAAGTTTGAGGTTCCATCTTTTGTAAAATAAGTATGTGCTTCATTATATTTGAAAACAATGAATTTACTTAAAAAAAGAACTATTTGTAGAAGTTTTCATTGTGTGAAACTTCAGAATAAACCTTAATCTAATTAGGTATTTCATTAAGTGTCAAATATTTCAGAAAGCTTTTCATAAATAGGAAAACAAATCATTCATTAGCATATGGCTACCTACTTTTGGGAAGGAAGCTCAGATTATAGATTTTAGAAATTGTCAGCTAGATAGGGTCCTTGCAGAAAACAGATAGCAGACTTAAACTGGGGATTTGAAGAGAATATAATAAGACTCTTCAGAGAGGTGTGGACAAGGTTTAGGGATTCTCCAATAAAGAAGATGCTTGAGCTTAAGGCTGCTGGGGGAGCCACTATCATCTCTCTTCAGCTTAAAGGAACAGGAAAGGGAGCAGGTAGTATAACGCAGACAGTGGTTGTCCAGAGAGGGCACGTCACAGGAGCAGCAGCCATCAGCCTACTGTGGAAACTGGTGGAGCCAGATCTCACTCTGCCTACGTTCCTGAGCGTCTGCCTAGTACCACCTGTTGGCTGAATCCAACTGGGAAGGGAACTTGTTGATGTGGTCCCTGATGGTCATCTTCCTGGGGCACAGGGTGGCATAGAAAAGGGTGGGAAAGGGATCTGGAGGAGTAAATGGAAAATAGCACTATGTTAGCCAAGGTAAAGGGAATAGGAGAGGGTACAAGCAAATACTAGTGATATTGTATATTTTTCTATAATTTTGTATTTTTTTCTTTCATTTTAAAATTTCATGGAACAAGTCCTGGGAATGTTGTGCAAAAACCAAAAATACATTGGTGATATTAGAGGAAAATATTTATTTTGATATATTTCTATTTGGAAAAACATTTGTTATTAATGCCAGATGGTGTTTTTTCTTTTGAAGGCCAACAAGAAATGTGAAGAGGCACGCCAAGAAAAAGAAGCAATGGTAATGAAATATGTAAGAGGTGAGAAGGAATCTTTAGACCTTCGAAAGGAAAAAGAGATACTTGAGAGAAAACTTAGAGATGCAAATAAGGAATTTGAGAAAAACACTAACAAAATTAAGCAGCTTTCTCAAGAGAAAGGACGGTTGCACCAACTGTATGAAACAAAGGTATAACTTGTGCCATTAGGCCTTATTTGAAATCTGTTCTCTTTACTTTTCCTTATTTAATCAAACAATCATAACATAGTTAAAAAACTCAAACATAAAGTTTTTATTTATCTTCTAAAAATATGACTGTTTTAGTAATTTTAGTATCTTGTTACTAGTCTATTAAAAAGGTTTGCTGGGGAAAAGATGAAGTATTAGCACATGGTTTCTTTAGATAACTTTTTCTTGATCTTTTTAAAAACTTTCTTTTAAAATCTGCATGTTGGAGAAATTAGTTTATGCCTCAAAGGAAGATTATATTTTGGTAAAATATGTACATCATAGTGTCAAATGTGAATAGTTTTAGAGCCAGGAGTACAACTTGATATAATCTTAATGTAACACTTCCTTACTATAGAATTTTTTTTTTATTTGAGACAGAGTCTTGCTCTGTCACCTGAGCTAGAGTGCAGTAAAGTCATAATAGCACACTGCAACCACAAACTCCTAGGTTCAACGGATCCTCCTGCCTCAGCGTTCCGAGTAGCTGGGACTGTAGGTGCATGCCACCACACCTGGCTAATTTTTCTATTATTTATTTATTTATTTTTTATTAGAGATGGGGTCTTGCTCTTGCTTAGGCTGATCTTGAGCTCCTGAGCTCAAGCAATCCTCCTGCCTTGGCCTCCCAGAGTTCTAGGATTACAGACATAAGCCACTGTGCCTGACCAGAATTTGTATTTTTCTTAAAGAAGAACATGTCCTCCTCAAATGCTATCTGAAGAGATTTAATTACTGAGCTAGCTATTGAGAACCCTTTCTGTTAACTAGCAGCCTCTTGATATGGTCATATTTCTAGTGCATTTCTATTTCTCAGTGATAAATGTTACTGTTTATTCATTAACTTTTAGTTTGGAATATTGTCATTGTTGTGAGGAATTCTGGCAAAACCAATTTGGTTCATATTTGACATTAATGCCAGCCAGTTAAGAAGAATCATAAAGGTATACTTATGCTGACAGCACATCCAATGGGTTAAAATATGAATGTTAATCATCTTCATGTCTTTTGATTGGATTTAGGATTTTACTGTCCTCTTATCCTTTGAACTTGAAGTCAATTTTATGGCCTGTGGGCCATAGTGTACCAGCTCTCGAATTATAGTGTTATTGCACTCGTTACTTTGAGGGGATATAAAAGATACATAAATAATTAGTTGATAGTTTAAATGAAAAAATATGACCTAGTGATATCATTTTAGGAAGGTGAAACGACTAGACTCATCAGAGAAATAGACAAATTAAAGGAAGATATCAACTCTCACATCATTAAAGTAAAGTGGGCACAAAACAAATTAAAAGCTGAAATGGATTCGCACAAGGTGAGTACTATAATGCAGTGGAATAATGATTAGAATCAGTTTTAAGAGTAAATGTACTAACAGTTGATAAGGCCTAAAGCTTAGTTTAGTGACTTCTGCAGAGTAACTTGGACCTGAATATTTGGTGATTATGAAAAAGAAATGTCCTTGCATGGTTTACATATAAAATTGGATGAGATGTTAAATTTTATTATTCATAGTTTGCAGCACACAAATTTGCCTTGTTCTTTTTAAGCATTTTTTGGCATGCAAAATTTAAATTAAACATTCTGAGAAATTGGGGAAGAGAATATGTAGGTTATCAAAATTGAAAGTAAGCTCTGGAAATTTTAAAACATATCAGTGATGCTAAAATCCTTATACTCAAGAAATATAAATTCTTATTTAAAATGTATAATAATGAATATAATAAAGATTTTAAGAATAAGTTTCCTTCTTTTATATAAATGTAATTCCATATTGTGCCCAGTCTATCATTTTATTAAAAAATTAATATCATAAAAGGTGATTATAAAGGCTGATACCTAATGTCATAATTATAAGCACTAATTGAGCTGATATTAGCGGTAGTAAAAATCTGAAGATGATAGAATGTGAAGTAAAAGATCAACACTGAAATGTGACACAAGCAGAAAAGCAAAGTTATAGAAATATCAGTTTCCAAGTTTTTAAAAATGGGCTTAATGATATCGTTTAAAACCGTAATCATGGAATACGTTATTAAATCATTCTAAATCAGTAGGACTTTAATAATCTTTTGGTATTTGTAGATGTGTGTGTGTATGTGTGTGTGTGTGTGTGTGTGTGTGTGTGTGTGACCAAGGCAGAGAAAGAACTGCCAGAATGGAGCAGGGCAGCGATCCCTAGAGCTCAATGGGCTGAGCCATTTAGAATTTTCCCTTTTCTTTGAGTTACAGAATGAGGAATTAACATTCCAAATCCATAAAAACAGTAGTGATTTTCAGCTGCCTGAGTCACTTCAAAATCTGAATGTAATACTTGGTCATATCTAATATCTGTGGTACTTTCCACATCCTTATCTATAGTACTAAGAGACAGGATCATGAAACCTGTAGCATTGAGGAGTAAAATCCTGTTACAGATCTGAGATTTTTTTTTTTTTTTTTTTGAGATAAGAGTCTCATTCTGGTACCACTGGGTAGAGTGCAATGACATCATCATAGCTCACCGCAACCTCAAACTCCTGGGCTCAAGCGATCCTCTTGCCTAAGCCTCCTGAGTAGCTGGGACAACAGACGTGTGTTGTCCGTGGTGTCCACAACACCCGGCTAATTTTTCTATTTTTGGTAGACATGGCGTCTTGCTTTTGCTCAGGCTCATCTCGAACTCCTGAGCTCAAGCAATCCTCTTGCTTCGCCTCCCGGAGCGCTAGCTAGGATTACAGATGTGAGCCACTGTGCCCGACTAGATGAGAGATTTTTGTGGCAGCTTTTAGGTCAGATGAAACCAGATACTCTGTAAGTAGGTTAGAAAAGTGATTTAAGGCTAACTTCTGTAAGGTTACATGGTGTGGATTGCTAGAAAATGAAAAAAGCAAGTGTATTGACCAGGTATATAGAAATTAGACATGTACCAGTTTCTTTTTAAGTAAGGCATTTATTAACCAGCAAGCATTTAGTTCTGTGCACAGCACTGTATTAAATAATATGGATGATATAAAAACCGTGGACAACACAGTCATTGCTTTCAAAGAGTGAGATGGGTTCCTGGTTATCTATTTTATGTATTTACCTAGTAGATATTAGGAGCCTCTGGATGAAAGGGTACAAGATTTAATCATTGTCTGCTGGGCAGTGTAGGCTACCTCTAGAGATGTGGGCAAGGTACTTGACACTTTCAGTACATTTTTTTCCAGGTACTCTTTCAAATTTCTGGTCTCTGTCCATAAAGTCTTAGGTACTAATACTGGAGTCCTATAGGTTCCTGGATCCATTGTGATAGTTTACTTCTGGTCAGGCCTCCAGGGCATATTGCAGAATTGAGTCTAGACTAGGTAGAGTGGACACCCAGATCATCAGGTCAGACAGTAGAAATTTATTTGTTCCCTTTTCTAAACTCTTTTGGGGATTTGACTGAAACGTGTTTTTAACACCTAACCTCTAAAAACAAAAGAACCTCTTGAATGTAGTGAATAAAGAAGAATCTCTACCCATGATCTCATCTACTGGTTTATCTGCCTGGTTGCTACCTATTCACTACCTGGTATCAGGATAATGTCATCTCACTGGGGCATATATATGGCTGGCAACAGATGTGGCAGTGTTTCTTTGGCAACCATGTTTGGCTGTGTGGAGTGTATGCCAAATATTTCTGCTTCAGAGAAAGCTAGAGAGTGGAGTATTGGATGTCAAGATAGCATTTAGACAAGCAGGATGCAATAGACTGTAATATTATATTGCAATTATGGGTGACCAGGGCTTGGTATTTTATGATATGTTCCCTCTGCTAGATTACCTGAATCAAGACTGTGCTGCTTAATATGCTCTGCTCCCAAAAGTTGTCATGTTGTCAATGATAGCCTCATTCTTAAATGGTTTGTTTACTCAGAGGCCCACTAATTAGAAACCAGGGCTCACTTCTGATTAGCTTTGCCATTTTTTTTCTCACTTAGTAAAGCTTTATTCCATGTTCTATTCTATAACTGTATTCTATTGACTATAGTTTATTGTATTGTAATAAATAACAAGGTCCAGATTTACCCTCCCAAAATTAAAAAAAAAAGACAAAATATATGAAATGAAGGTTTTCAAATTGAGGCAACAGGCACCATTGGACAATGATCACATAGTGAAGGGAAACAAATGAGGTATGCCTGGAGAGTTCCTGGCCACTGCACAAGGAGAGGAACCTAAACAGAGCTCAGCATTCTCCCGGAATTGAGACAGAGTTCAACATACGGGAAACAAGGAATTGAGTTCTGGAGAAGAGGGAAGATACGGCCATCTGCAATGGGTTCCCTTCAAGTCTTCAGATGACTACTGATCACCTATCACCTTCTTAATGAGACTTCCCTGGCTACTCTACCTAAGCTTTCAACACCTCCCTGCAAACTTTTTCATGTCCTTGCTTTATGTTTTATTCTTTAGCACTTGTCACTAATATATATTTTTTTTATGTGTTGTTTGTGATCTACCTCCATCACTAGATCATGAGGGTAGACATTTTGTCTGTTTTCTACACAGACAAAACTATACACAACTATCTCTAGAGCATAGAACAATGGTGTGAAGTAGGTATTCAATGAATGCTGAATGAATGAATGTAGTTAATACTTAAACACATTTATTATGATTCTTACTTTTCCTTTATTCAAACATTCATTTATTTAGTAAATATTTATTTGGCATAGAGGAATCTCTCGATTGCTATTTTCTGAGTGAATGAAGTAAGTATCTACTATGTGCCAGGTTCTGTTTTACTTATTAATGATACAGTAGCAGAAAAAAAAATAAACTTCCTCTCCCTCCCTCCCTCTATGTCTCTCTCTCCTCCCTTTCAAATCTAGTATTTTAACAAGTCAGTATTTTAAAAAGTATCCAAATAATTGCTTATATTTTTAAAGTGATACTAAGTTTTAATACAAGTCAAATTATTATTAAAAACTAACAATTGACCGTATATAACTAATGGTAGATTTACCCAGAAAAACAAAATGATATATAAGCGTTGATGCAGCTCAGATGGTTCAAGAGATGAAGAGAAAGGCATTCCAAGTTGGAGGAATAGCAGGAACAAAGAACAAAGCAAGATGAGTATTTGGTATTTAGGAAGACCAGCCTAACTAGAGGCTTATGTTTAAGTATTCCTTCATCCAACAAATATTAGTTGAACAATTAATATGTGACAAGTACTTGAGTTGCTATCTGGAAGCTGTATACCGAATTGGGGGAACATATCAACTACAGTACAGTTTATTGATGGTTAGAATCCAAGGTGTCCCTCTGTTGTTATCTATGAAAAAGCAGAATAGCAGCATCTACCCTTTTGGAAGGGAAGCTACTGAGAGGAGATTATAGATGCCTAAACTTTCATTCTAAATATGCATGATAGCCAAAACCATGGCACTGGATTGGTTCTCTGAAGGAGAATTATGGAGAGAAAGCTGCAGGTCAAGGGGCTGTATCTTAGAAAATCACCACAGGAAGTGGGAAGCCAATCAAGGACCACTGGAGAAGAAAGAAAGAGGAAGAGAATACTCTCTTGTAATGGAAACAGAGGACGGATATTCAAAGAGCAAGGGGTGGTCAGAACTGGAACAAGTAGGTAAAGAATAAGAATAACAACAACAAAAAAGAATAAGAACAAGAAAAAGTAATTAGATTTGATGAGAGTAATCCCCAGAAACCTTCAGAACTGCCATTTTAGGAGAGTGGTTAGGAACAGAAACCATATTGAAGCATCAGTCTAAAAAAAGGCAGTTTTGAATATATACCACAACCACAAACCAAAGTATTGTCTTTTATGTGTGTGCAAAGAACTTTTGAACACTTTGCTCTTTTCTTAACAGGTTGGTAACTTCTAGTAATTTGCTGAAAATCTGTCAAATTTAACTTATTAATGGCTAGGCTATCAGTTAACTCTGCAGATCATTTCAATTTTCTGTTAGAAAAAAAATATTGCTAGAATAGTATCTGGCCCCTCAGTGGCAGTGCTAGGAAAAGAACTTTCTCTGCTCCCTGAATACTTTTTACCATTCATCTTTGTGGCCAACTTTGTCTCTGTTTTTTTGTCAATGCAGGAAACCAAAGATAAACTGAAAGAAACAACAACAAAGTTAACACAAGCAAAGGAAGAAGCAGATCAGATACGAAAAAACTGTCAGGATATGATAAAAACATACCAGGTATGCTTAACTTTTCAAATAGATTTGTGTCAAATTATAGTACATGTCAGTTCTCTTGTTTCATTAAATATCTATATTTGCAGTATTTGAAGTAATAGAATGGATTAGATAACACAGTTAAAAAATGCAGGTTATTTCTTATTTTGAAGTACCTACAGTTTAAATGGACCTTAGTAGAGAAGTTTTCAACCTCATAAAAACCCTAGAAAATGTCAGAGGAGTGCAAAGAAATGTATAACTTAAAAAAAAATAACTCTGTATTATCTTACATATTTTAAGTATGTTATTCATGCAAAGTAGATGCATTTAAAATCTTTCACACCTAATGGGTGTGGTGTGCACCGTTTGGGGGATAGACATGCTTGAAGCTCTGACTTGGGTTGGGAAAGGGCTATATATAAAATCTAAACATTTGTACCCCTGTAATATGCTGAAATAAAAAATTTAAAAAAAATAAAATCTTTCAATGCAATTTTCAGTTTTAGATACATCAGCTATGTATTTCATTATTAGTAAACTTAATTACAAAGCCTTATTCACTTTTCAAAGTATAAAACTTTAAAAATTGTAATTTTTTAAAATTTCCTTTCCACTAGGAGTCAGAAGAAATTAAATCAAATGAGCTTGATGCAAAGCTTAGAGTTACAAAAGGTGAACTTGAAAAACAAATGCAAGAAAAATCTGACCAGCTAGAGGTGAGTAGTTTTGCTCTTTGTATATCCTAAATTGTGTAATAAATGCAGGAAGAGAGAAATAATGAGTACCTATTGCCATCTGCTTTTAAGATCTGTTGGAAGGAGCAGGCAATAAATTTTAGATCTTGTTTATTAGTACATTATGATTTGTGGTTTCTTTTAAACTTTTTAAAAGATGCATCATGCCAAAATAAAAGAACTAGAAGATCTGAAGAGGACATTTAAGGAGGGTATGGATGAGCTGCGAACACTCAGAACAAAGGTAATTAAATCTTTAGTCATGACTCCAGAAGAAGGGTAAATATCTTTAATTTTGGATTTTATTCTGATTTTTAAAGTGGTGTGAAAAGGATATTTATGTAGAAATTTTCCAAAATTAAAGAACTCAGAGGAATAGAATAGCAATTCCCTAGCAACATAATCTCTCTGGTTAAAATAAAAATGTCTTCCATGTTAGTCTCTTTGAAGTGTTTGCCAAACATTCTATTTCACAGCACAATTTGCTATATCTATAACTTATTCTTGGCTTCTGATTTAAAGACAGCAAATCAGTTACATAGTTGGACCTTAGAACTGTGAGTGTCAGAAAATAATAGAAGGACTTTCTTTATATTTCTCCTGGGTATATTTAATAGTCTTAGATGAATACAGTTTTAATTTTCTAATTATCTATTTAATCCTTTCCAGTGTTTATAGTCTTTTCAGTGTTTATAGTCTCTTTTAATATGTCACTGTGTATCATTCATTTCTTTAGAAATAGGCTTTTAAGTAACCACTTTGAATTGGAGACCACTTAATTTTCAAGTATTTTTCTTTACCTTCCTATTTGTTCTTGGCCAGCTGTTTGAGATAGATGGGGAAGGTATATTCTTTTTCAGGTGAGGAAATAGAGATTTAGTAAAAATAAAATGACATGTTAAAACTTCCGTGACTAAATTGTTAAGAAATCTCAGACTAAAACCTAGTACTTTTAACTTCCCATTATATTTTCTTCACATTACCTAATAGTGCTTTGGAATTCAGCTTATATTATTAATATGTAGCCACTATGTAAAAGAGTTTATAAGGAGCAAGAAAATATTGTTTGTAGTTTAACTTGGTTATGATCATTTGATAGGTGAAATGTCTCGAAGATGAACGATTAAGAACAGAAGATGAATTATCAAAATATAAGGAAATTATTAATCGCCAAAAAGCTGAAATTCAGAATTTATTGGACAAAGTGAAAATTATAGATCAGATACAGGAGCAGCTTCAAAGGTATAAGATAAGCAACTTCTGTTTGTATTAATAAATAGGCTTTTAAATCCTATATCTATTTTTAAAAGCAATTATGCCATTAAAAAATAACAATTTTTATAATTTTACTAGCTAAAAATTTTAAAATTTTGCTCTTTATTTGAACTTTTTTTAGTATATTCGAGTTCCCATCATGGCTTCTAAAAATCAAAGTTTATATTCCTTAAACATTGGCAATAGCCATTTATGGATTTATTTAATTTCATTATTCATTCCTTCACTTTGAAATTCTGTTAGTTATACACAGTACATACTTTTTCTTCTAAAAGGTAAATCTAGAGCCAGATCTTTGCATACATATAGCCTGAGGTCAGGAGCTGGCATTATTCCTTGGTGCCTTATGAAACCAGTTAACTAAACTTCACTCATGACATTACCTGGCAGAGCCTGGATTCAGGTTGAATTCAAATATCTTCTTTTCCACACCTTACCGATACCTAAGCTGCTCAGTGTTGCTAAAGAAGTCCTCACTGTCATCCAGATTGACACTGCTATAAATTCATGGTTGCTAAAACAAATGGGAATATTAATGCACCTCTCATCCTACATGTCCTTGATCAGAGTTTTCTCCCCCATCTTTTTAGTATCTGTTTCACACCTTATCACTTTTTACTTATTGATTTCTTCACACTTTGGTCTTTCCCCTTACCTGTCCATGTGCTCTTGGCAGGTGATTACTTCTTCACAGAAAAAATGGGAGCTATCAGGTGACAGTTCTTTCAACTTCTTGCTATCAATACTATGAACTACCTGCATCTGCACTCATATTTTCCTTTGCTTCCATGATTGTAGAAGAACTGTTCTTGCTCTTCTCTGAACTGAATTATTCTTTCTGCTTCTGCTGTGGATCCCATGCTCTTCTGCCTTCTTAGGGTCTTTCTTCATTATTCCTTCTTTATCCTTTATCTTTCTCTATTGACTTTCTTTTTCTTTCTACATTTAAATATGATTGTATCTTTAAAAAGCTAAGACTCTTGTGATCTTCCCCTACCAGCTTTTTTTTTACAACCAAACTTCTTTATAGAATCATCTATACGCATTCTCCCTTTCTTCACTTCCTATGTTGTATTCCTCTGCATTCTAGCCTCTACCCCAACATTTCCTTAATAACTACTAATGCCTCCTAGCATGTGGTAGACATATCTCAGATGCAGTCTTGCTTAAATTTTTAGTATCTTTTTAACAACACTAACTTGGTTATCTTTCTTGATATGCTCTGTTCCTTTGGCTTCATTTCCATCATGCTCTCCTAGTGTTCCTCCCACCTTTCTGGTTGCTATTTTTCAATCTCCTTGGCTGGCTTCTCTGTCATAAGGCCCTCTATCCTAATTTTATTGTACCTTTGGGTGATCCCAACTATTTTTATAGTATGCTGTAGAACTTTTGAATCATTATCTTCAGCACTTTCTGCTGAACTCCAAGCACATAAGTATCAAAGAAACCGCAAACTTTAACATATCCAGAATTGATTTTTCTACCTTGCCCACAAAGATGCTTCCCCTCTCATGTTCCTGGGATGAGTGAAAAGTGTAGCATCCACATGATTATACAACCCAGGATTCTAGTGGCCATTCTTTGTACTTCCCTCCTTCTCCTTGTACATCTAACTAGTCACAAAATATTAGCAATGCTAACTCTTTAATATCTGTCAAATCCATTTACTTTTATACCCTCACTGCTACTACCATAGTCCAACTCAAGCTCTTGATCCAAATCCAGCCCACTGCTTCTTTTTGTAAATGAAGTTTTTTGGGAATATATCTCCACTCATTCATTTATGTAATATCTATGGCAGTTTTCAAACACTGATGGCAGCGTGGAGTAGTTGCAACAAAAACCATATGACCCAGAAGCCTAACTTAATTTACTATCTGGTCCTTTGCAGGAAGAGGTTGCTGACTTCTATGTTAAATACTAGTTTGAACATCATTTACACTAGTTTTGGCAACCTGCTCTGTACTTTTATCATCAAAAATGGTTTTTTCACACTCATATAATTTCTCTACTTGTCTAAAAGCTCTTTGAAAGCTGGGGCCATGTTAATCTTGCCTCATGTATATTCCCAGCTCTTAGTTTCTGGCATATATTAAGCATTCACTTAGGCATTCATAAGTATTTGCATGAATGAATGAAAGTACCCTTGAGAAGCACTTGATTAGATGAAAATTCCCCAACTATTTAATGTCTTTTAATAGTTTAATTTTTTCTTAAATATAAACTTTGTTTTTTAGAGGTAAACAAGAAATTGAAAATTTGAAGGAAGAAGTGGAAAGTCTTAATTCTTTGATTAATGACCTACAAAAAGACATCGAAGGCAGTAGGAAAAGAGAATCTGAGCTACTGCTATTTACAGAAAAGCTCACTAGTAAGAATGCACAGCTTCAGTCTGAATCCAATTCTTTGCAATCACAATTTGATAAACTTTCATGTAGTGAAAGTCAGTTACAAAGCCAATGTGAACAAATGAAACAGACAAATATTAATTTGGTAAGTATAAATGTACATTTAACTTTTAAAGCAATATAGCAAGAGGCACAAATCGATTTACCTAATAGTATAAAAGTAGTGCTAGTTGATTTTAAGCTCTTTTCTCTTTTTTTTCTTTTTTCTTTTTTCTTTTTTTTGTGACAGAGTCTCGCTTTGTTGCCCAGGCTAGAGTGAGTGCGGTGGCATCAGCCTAGCTTACAGCAACCTCAAACTCCTGGGCTCAAGCAATCCTGCTGCCTCAGCATCCCGAGTAGCTGGGACTACAGGCATGCACCACCATGCCCAGCTAATTTGTTCTATATATATTAGTTGGCCAATTAATTTCTTTCTATTTATAGTAGAGATGGAGGTCTTGCTCTTGCTCAGGCTGGTTTCGAACTCCTGACCTCGAGCAATCCGCCCGCCTCGGCCTCCCAGAGTGCTAGGATTACAGGCATGAGCCCACCACCGCCCATCCCAATTTTAAGCTCTTTTTCTATGGACACCGCTTGTTCTGGTCATTTCAAATGCTATAAAAAAATGTCCAGTTTTTTCCTTTGAACTCTGGTAATTCATAATAAAAATTTCATCTTAAAATAATTATGGAAGAATATTTCACTTTTGAAAATAAAACCATGGTTTCTTCCATCCCTAAACTGGGATCACTATATATATAATTTTAGAAGGTACTTTAAATTTATGTTTTTTGTAGTTTAAAAGTGGTTTAAATTTCCAGATTATGAGAGTTTCTTTAAGTTACCAATAGAAATAATTTGAGACTTTAGTCAAAAATTCAGAGACCGCATATCACATGTTGTTTTCCTGTGTATCGAACTTGATATATGAGGATTTTGAGGCGGTGAATAAACAAAATCTGGTGAGAAATAATGATCAGAAGAATCTCTACCATGAAGGACCTTATATTTTTAAGGTTGTAAAGTATGAGCTTTAAGGGAAACAAACATATTAAAAATTGGTGGGTTTTGTTTTATTTATATTCAGGAAAGTAATTGTTGAAAGAGGAAGAACTGCGAAAAAGGAAGTCCAACTCTGCAAGCTGAACTTACTTCTAGTCAAACAGAAGTTAAAGCATTGAGTACCCAGGTAAGAATTAAAGATGAGTTGGTAACCTCAAAGACGTAAACATGCTCTAGTATCAAGGATCTTACACAAACAAACTTCAGCAAGGTATGACATTCTTCCACACCTAGACCTTGAATGTGCTTGTTTCTTTTAATTTTAAGGATTTTTATGGAAAATTATATTTTACATCAGTTCTACCACATAGATGGAACTGTATGTTCTTTTTTGTATATATGTTCATAAACCAAATTGCTAAACTTTGCAATATTTTATTGATAGTCTAACTTCCATGCTAAAGGACGTTTATTCACAGAATCACAAAATGTGAGAACTGGGAAAGTTATCTTAGGATAGTTAATTAAACATTTTTCATCACATACTCCTATTAGTAAAAAGCTATTAAGTGTTCATTTTCCAAATTATGTGTGTATTTATAAAGTGTAAACATATATTATCTTTTATGTATATCAGAAATATGAAAATAGAATTTTTAAAAATCTATCTTTAAATAATAAGTATAAATAGCAGTTCTAATATTTCTTTCTTCATATGCTGTGAAATGCTGTTTTGTGCAGCCTCTGGGTACCTGTGCTCTAGATGCAAGCTCTAACTTAGAGATTGTTGATATCTAACCCTTCATGTGGGTCTCAGGAAACGACCTGAAAGGTTTAAATTAGCCAAACACACAATTGACAATAAACTGGAACCCATATTTCTTTCATTTAAAATTCATGTAATTGTTGGGTTGCTGTGCCAATGTGCTCAGGATACAAAGATGAATCAGATGTATTCTGACTTTCTATTCTCTACTCTTCCCTACTGCTCTGTGTTAAAGTAGGGTGAGATATAGTAATAAGATAAAAGAGATTTAGTATTTACTTCATATGAATATGTTTAGATATTGCCATAGAATTTGACCTCACATGACTATTATCACGATATTTGCCATAGAATTTAGTTTTTTATAGATGTAATTAAAGGGAAATTTGCGGGAAATTTCTAGTATTAAGGACTCTAAAGTTAAAAGTTCAGTATATTATAAATTAATTTATGTTGATGATAGTACCCGTTACCACAGTTTCATTTCAATATATTTGTATTCGACCTGTATATTCACAAATGTCATTTTATATGGAATGTTACAGCTGCAGTCCCCAACCCTGGGCTGTGGACTGTACTGGTCTGTGGCCTGTTAGGAACCAGGAACCCCTCCAGCCACACCCCATCCCCCACCACCGTGGAAAATTATCTTCCATGAATCAGACCTGGTGCCAAAACGTTAGGGACTGCTGAGTTATGCCTGAAATTTAGGCTTGAGACTAGCAGCAAAAGCCATCAAGGGTGAGCTGCGGGACAAAGCTTTGTGTGTAATTTGCAGCCACTCCCCAACATTTGCATCACTGCCTGAACTCCTGCTCCCTCCTCCCTCTCCCCCACCACCCATGGAAATTTGTCTTCCATGAAACTGGTCCCTGCTACCAGAAAGGTTGGGCACTGCTGACCTATAAGTCTCTAAGTATGTATTTAGTAACTTTCTCTTATCTGCGCCATTTTTGACTAGGTGATTTTTAGCAATAAAATCAGAGATGGTGGGGCCAAGTGGTCCATGATTTTCACAAGTTATCCATTTCTTTTTCTTACAGCACGGAGAAAATTAGATCAGGTCGAGAATGGAAGCTATGATAAAGAAGTCAGCAGCAATGGGAAGTCGTTCTAGTTCATCAGGTAAAAAACTAAAGTTTAGTTGTTATTTAATGATTGATTATAAAAATAAAGCTTTTCTTGTTTTAAAAGTGTTGATAGCTTGGTTTCTTTTGAAGTATACAAAGTGGTGGTTATTTGAACTATAAAAAGTATGATTAATGATTAATTATATTGTAAAAGTGTTTCTCTGATTAAATGTTTAAGTTCTGTTTGTCACCAGGAATTGCAGCCTTGTTGTAAGTTCTGTATGGACCTGTCCTTTTCCTTCTTTTTCTTACTTGCGTGGCTTTATTCTTTTGCCACACTTCCATTTTCTAAATCAAATTTGTTCCATCAATATAGAAGATGTTTGGGTAGTATAGTGTCTTTTATTATATTACTTTAATACCTGAGAACTAATAAAAATGGTCATTATATATCAGATTAAAATATCAGTGATTTATCATTTTTTTGAAATGCCAAGAACTGCCTAAACATATCATTTACTCTGCAGAACAGCCATGTGAAGTAAAGTATTATAATTCAGTTCCCACTTACAATAAAGCACCAAGATTTAGAGAAAGGTTCAATGATTTACCCAAAAATCTTAGTGACAGAACTTCTCTGACTTCAGTCGTTGCTTGCCACTACACATACTGCCCACGAGTTGCCGTTAGGGGAAAAACATCAACTGTTAAAATAGTGGGAAAAAATGTTAGTAGAAAGAACATGGGATTTGAAAATTGCAGTATGTAATTTATAATCCCAGCCCAAGCCACATTATTAGTTATATAAACTGGATAAGATACATTACATATCTGTAATCTTTAAAATGGATTGGAAAAAAACATATCTTTGTAAGGGTAAAGAAGGATCAGAAATTCTTCTCACTGTAATGGGTAAAAATAATGTCTAAACTTAACATAGTGCCTTACAATATGTCAGATGCTAAGTCTTCAACCACAATATTCAATCATTTTAAATGAGGATACACAATCCCTATGGGTATATAATATATATTTCCATTTTAAGATGAAAGTAAAGGCACAGAGCCTTAAATAACCTTGTCGAAGTGACATAATAGTAAGTAGAGAAGTGGGGTTTGAATGTAAGTAGGATGGCTCCCAGAGCTTAACCTGCTATGTTCTGTCCTCTCTTCTCCTCAATATACTTCCCTTCTTTCCCCTCCCTCTCTCTGTTCTTTCTATTCTTTTATAGTTTAATTTTAGTAATCAGTTTAACTGTTTTATTCTGGCTTTTTCTTAAGAGATGTAATAGACCCTTTTGGTACTTCTGTCATCAGTATATTCCAAGAAGTAAGAACTCGACCACATGTGACCTATGTTGTGTCACCTGTCCACAGTGAATATTTGAAAATGATGCTGGAATAAATAATAAGATGAGAGAGGACGCTAGACTAAACACAATTATCTAAATGATTTTTTTTTTTTATTCAGGGTCCTTAATGCTCGAAGCAGTGGCCGAAGATCGTCTCCCCCAGAAAATACCGGTCATCAGTACTGTGGATAACTTTTCCAGAAGTAGACAAGGCCATGTTATTGAGACGATAGATGTAGGTAAGAAAGCACATGCCCGGGAAAAATGAAAAGATCGAATTTATGGAAACAACCATCAAACAATTGGTGGAAGAAATTAGGAAAAAAAACAAAGTATGTATTATTAGCATAATCTGTATTCAAAATACCTCTAAATCAATATGGTAAGTTACTACTATCAAAATCAATCATATCAAAAAATAATTCTTCCCAGTCGTGTTCTATTCCTAGGTTTTTAAGAATCAAAGATGAGGCGGGCGCGGTGGCTCACAACCTGTAATCCTAGCACTCCCTGGGAGCCGAGCGGGCAGGATTGCTCAGGTCAGGAGTTCGAAACCACCGAGCGAGACCCCGTCTCTACTAAAAAATAGAAAAGAATTAATTGGCACTAAAAGTATATATACAAAAAAAAATTAGCCAGCATGGGTAGTGCATATGCCTGTAGTCCCAGCTATCCCGGGAGGCCTGGCAGGAGGATCGCTTGAGCCCAGGATTTGAGTTGCTGTGAGTAGGCTGACACACGGCACTCACTTTAGCCTGGGCAACCAAAAGTGAGACTCTGTAGTCAAAAAAAAAAAAAAAAAAAAAAAAAAAGAATACAAAGATGAAAGAAAATTCTATCACCTTAGAGGTCTTTCTTTTAAAGTAATATTGAGTTCAGTAGATATTAATTTTAAGATACTAAAATGCCTTTGGATTTAAGAAAGATATGCTGTACTTTTTATTTTCACAGCCATGGCTCTAAAAGATACATGTGGGGTTATGGATTGCTTTTCCTGTTGAGTAGGCCACAGTCAGGTAATTTATTGTGCACCTGCTAGTACAAGGCATGATGCCTGTGGCTTAACAATATCTCACTGATTCCTTACAACTACTCAGAGAGTGAGTTCTCTGATTATACAGATAAGTTAACTAGGGCTCAGGTCAAACCACTAAATGTCCCAGGATTACCACTCATCCTGTAAGTCTGCAGTCCCCAAGCCCCAGAGACTGGTCCATGGCCTGTTAGGGACCAGGCTAGGCCACAGAGCTGCCACCACACCCCTGCTATCTGTGGAAAAATTATCTTCTAGGAAACCTGTCTCTGGTGCCAAAAAGGTTGGGGACTGCTGCTGTAAGTGACAGACCTACAGCTAGAGATCCAAACACTGCTCTGACTACATCTAGAGCTGTGGTGTGCCAATTTCCTCTCACAAATACTGTGTAGTTGTTATTTTTATATTGCACTTTTTCCCCCCTCTGTACATGCCTTTTATTATTTATGTAATACAATATGGCATCAATGCTGAATGACATGATTATGTGCGATACATAAATATGAACTATCTGCAGGTCTAACTGAGAACTAAAGTATGTAAAATTAAAAGGAAAACTGAATGCTTGAAGAATAAAAATAAAAACTAGGACTGAACACTGCAATAAATCAGAAGTGTGGAGCCTTGTGTACATACTTAACTATTAACATGTAAAAAGAGGCATTACCACAACACTAATCTAACTATATGTATTTGTATATAAAAACATGTCATGAAAACCTCTCCATTATCAAGACAAGCATCAGTGAAATATACTGCCTTTTCTAATTGTTATTGTACATGTTATATGTAATGCAGCCCACGCAATACGCCTAAGAATACTGGAGTACTACACTCAAGTACAATTAATATGATAAAGCAGACTTTGATTTTGAAATAATTTTATACTTTCATAAAAATTTGCCTGTGGCTTTTATTTTATTTATTTATTTATTTAGAGACAAGAGTCTCACTTTGTTGCCCAGGCTAGAGTGAGTGCCATGGCGTCAGCCTTGCTCACAGCAACCTCAAACTCCTGGGCTCAAGGGATCCTCCTGCCTCAGCCTCCCGAGTAGCTGGGACTGCAGACATGTGCCACCATGCCCGGCTAATTTTTTTTGTATCTATATTAGTTGGCCAATTAATTTCTTTCTATTTATAGTAGAGATGGAGGTCTTGCTCTTGCTCAGGCTGGTTTCGAACTCCTGACCTCGAGCAATCCGCCCGCCTCGGCCTCCCAGAGTGCTAGGATTACAGGCATGAGCCACCACGCCCAACCCAATTTTAAGCTCTTTTCTATGGACACTGCTGTTCTGGTCATTTCAAATGCTATAAAAAAAAGTCAGTTTTTCCTTTGAACTCTGGTAATTCATAATAAAATTTCATCTTAAAATAATTATGGAAGAATATTTCACTTTTGAAAATAAAACCATGGTTTCTTCCATCCCTAACTGGGATCACTATATATATAATTTTAGAAGGTACTTTAAATTTATGTTTTTTTGTAGTTTAAAAGTGGTTTAATATTTCCAAGTTATGAGAGTTTCTTTAAGTTACCCATAGAAATAATTTGAGACTTTAGTCCAAAAATTCAGAGACCCATATCACATGTTGTTTTCTGTGTATGGAACTTGATATATGAGGATTTTGAGGCGGTGAATAAACAAAATCTGGTGAGAAATAATGATAGAAGAATCTCTACCATGAAGGACCTTATATTTTTAAGGTTGTAAAGTATGAGCTTTAAGGGAAACAAACATATTAAAAATTGGTGGTTTTGTTTTATTTAATATTCAGGAAAGTAGATTGTTGAAAGAGGAAGAACTGCGAAAAGAGGAAGTCCAAACTCTGCAAGCTGAACTTACTTCTAGTCAAACAGAAGTTAAAGCATTGAGTACCCAGGTAGAAGAATTAAAAGATGAGTTGGTAACTCAAAGACGTAAACATGCCTCTAGTATCAAGGATCTTACCAAACAACTTCAGCAAGGTATGACATTCTTCCACACCTAGACCTTGAATGTGCTTGTTTCTTTTAATCTTTAAGGATTTTATGGAAAAATTATATTTTACATCAGGTTCTACCACATAGATTGGAACTGTATGTTCTTTTTTGTATATATGTTCATAAACCAAATTGCTAAACTTCTTGCAATTTTATTGATAGTCTAACTTCCATGCTAAAGGACGTTTATTCACAGAATCACAAAATGTGAGAACTGGGAAAGTATCTTAGGGTAGTAGTATCTAAACATTTTTCATCACATACTCCTATTAGTAAAAAGCTATTAAGTGTTCATTTTCCAAATTATGTGTGTTTATTTATAAAGTGTAAACATATATTACTCTTTTATATATATCAGAAAATATGAAAAATAGAATTTTTAAAAGATCTATCTTTAAATATAAGTATAAATAGCAGTTCTAATATCTTCTTTCTTCATATGCTGTGAATTGTTTTGTGCAGCCTCTAGGGTACCTGTGCTCTAGATGCAGAGCTCTAACTTAGAGATTGTTGATATCTAATCCTTCATGTGGGTCTCAGGAAACAGACCCTGAAAGGTTATAAATTAGCCAAACACAACAATTGACAACTAAAACTGGAACCCACATTTCTTTCATTTAAAAATTCATGTAATTGTTGGGTGTCTGTGCCAATGTGCTCAGGATACAAAGATGAATCAGATGTATTCTGACTTTCTATTCTCTACTCTTCCTACTGCTCTGTGTTAAAGTAGGGTGAGATATAGTAATAAGATAAAAGAGATTTAGTATTTACTTCATATGAATATATTTAGATATTTGCCATAGAATTTACTTCACATGACTATATTCAGATATTTGCCATAGAATTTAGTTTGTTTTTATAGATGTAATTAAAGGGAAATTTGCGGGAAATTTCTAGTATTGTAAGGACTCTAAAAGTTAAAAGTTCAGTATATTAATAATTAATTATGTGATGATAGTACCAGTTACCATAGTTTTGTTTCAATATATTTGTATTCGACCTGTATATTTCCAAATGTCATTTTATATGAATGTTACAGCTGCGGTCCCCAACCCCTGGGCTGTGGACTGGTACTGGTCTGTGGCCTGTTAGGAACCAGGAACCCCCTCCTAGCCCACCCCCACGCCCCCCACCACCGTGGAAAAATTATCTTCCATGAAATCAGTACCTGGTGCCCAAAACGTTAGGGACTGCTGAGTTATGCCTGAAATTTAGGCTTGAGACTAGCAGCAAAGAAGCCATCAAGGGTGAGCTGCGGGAGAGCAAAGCTTTGTGTGTATTTGCAGCCACTCCCCAACATTTGCATCACTGCCTGAACTCCTGCTCCTCCTCCCTCTCCCCCCACCACCCATGGAAAATTTGTCTTCCATGAAACTGGTCCCTGCTACCAGAAAGGTTGGGGACTGCTGACCTATAGTCCTCTAAAGTATGTATTTAGTAACTTTCTCTTATCTGCGCCATTTTTGACTAGGTGATTTTTAGCAATTAAAATCAGAGATGGTGGGGGCAAGTGGTCATGATTTTCACAAGTTATCCATTTCTTTTTCTTACAGCACGGAGAAAATTAGATCAGGTTGAGAATGGAAGCTATGATAAAGAAGTCAGCAGCATGGGAAGTCGTTCTAGTTCATCAGGTAAAAAACTAATAGCTTTAGTTGTTATTTAATGATTGATTATAAAAATAAAAAGCATTTTTTGTTTTAAAAAGTGTTGATATGCTTTGTTTCCTTTTGAAGTATAAAAAGTGGTGGTTATTTGAACTATAAAAAGTAGTGATTATGTGTAATTATATTGTAAAAAGTGTTTCTGATTAAATGTTTAAGTTCTGTTTGTCACCCAGGATTGCAGCCTTGTTGTAAGGTTCTGTATGACCTGTCTCTTTTCCTTCTTTTTTCTTACTTGCTGTGGCTTTATTCTTTGCCACAACTTCCATTTTCTTAAATTCAAATTTGTATCCATCAATATAGAGAGATTTGGTGTAGTATAGTGTCTTTTACTTGTATATTACTTTTAATACCTGAGAACTAATAAAATGGTCATTATATATCAGATTAAATATCAGTGTATTTATCATTTTTTGAAATGCCAAGAACCATGCTAAACATATCATTTACTCTGCAGAACAGCCATGTGAAGTAAGTATTATAATTCAGTTCCCACTTACAAATAAAGACACCAAGATTTAGAGAGGTTACATGATTTACCCAAAATCTATAGTGACAGAACTCTCTGACTTCAGTCGTTGCTTGCCACTACACATACTGCCCCCCACGAGTTGCACGTTAGGGGGGGAAAACATCAACTGTTAAAATAGTGGGAAAAAGGCCGGGCGCGGTGGCTCACGCCTGTAATCCTAGCTCTCTGGGAGGCCGAGGCGGGCGGATTGCTCGAGGTCAGGAGTTCGAAACTAGCCTGAGCAAGAGCGAGACCCCGTCTCTACTATAAATAGAAATTAATTGGCCAACTAAAATATATATAGAAAAAATTAGCCGGGCGTGGTGGCACATGCCTGTAGTCCCAGCTACTCGGGAGGCTGAGACAGAAGGATCGCTCGAGCCCAGGAGTTTGAGGTTGCTGTGAGCTAGGCTGACGCCACGGCACTCACACTAGCCTGGGCAACAAAGCAAGACTCTGTCTCAAAAAAAAAAAAAAAAAAAAAAAAAAAGTGGGAAAAAATGTGTAGAAGAAAGAACATGGATTTGAAATTGCAGTATGTATTTATATCCCAGCCCAGCCACTTATTAGTTATATAACACTGGATAAGATACATTACATATCTGTAATCTTTAAAATGGGATTGGGAAAAAAACATATCTTTGTAGGGTAAAGAGGATCAGAAATTCTTCTCACTGGTATGGGTAAAAATAATGTCTAAACTTAACATAGTGCTTACAATATGCAGTGCTAAGTGCTTCACACATATTAACTCATTTAAATGAGGATAACAATCCTATGAGGTATATAATATTACTATTTCCATTTTAAGATGAAGTAAAGGCACAGAGCCTTAAATAACTTGTCCGAAGTGACATAATAGTAAGTGGAGAAGTGGGGTTTGAATGTAAGTAGGATGGCTCCAGAGCTTAACCTGCTATGTTCTGTCCTCTCTTTCTCTCTCATATACTTCCCTTCTTCTCCTCCCTCTCTCTGTTCTTTCTATTCTTTTATAGTTTAATTTTAGTATCAGTTTAACCGTTTTATTCTGGCTTTTTCTTAAGAGATGTAATAGACCCTTTTGGTACTTCTGTCATCAGTATATTCAGAAGTAAGAACTCAGACCACATGTGACCTATGTTGTGTGTCACTGTCAGAGTGAATATTTGAAAATGATGCTGGAATAAATAATAGATGAGAGAGGACTCTAGACTAAACACAATATCTAAACTGATTTTTTTTTTATTCAGGGTCCCTTAATGCTCGAAGCAGTGCCGAAGATCGATCTCCAGAAAATACCGGGTCATCAGTAGCTGTGGATAACTTTCCAGAAGTAGACAAGGCCATGTTGATTGAGAGGATAGTGAGGCTACAGAAAGCACATGCCCGGAAAAATGAAAAGATCGAATTTATGGAAGACCACATCAAACAATTGGTGGAAGAAATTAGGAAAAAAACAAAGTATGTATTATTAGCATAATCTGTATTCAAAATACCTCTAATCATATGGTAAAGTTACTACTTTCAAAATCGATCATATCAAAAAATAATTCTTCCCAGTCAGTGTTCTATTCTAGGTTTTTAAGAATACAAAGATGAAAGAAAATTCTATCACCTTAGAGGTCTTTCTTTTAAAGTAATATTGAGTTCAGTAGATATTAATTTTAAGATACTAAAATGCCTTTGGATTTAAGAAAGATATGCTGTACTTTTTATTTTCACAGCCATGGCTCTAAAAGATACATGTGGGGTTATGGATTGCTTTTCCTGTTGAGTAGGCCACAGTCAGGTAATTTATTGTGCACCTGCTAGTACAAGGCATGATGCCTGTGGCTTAACAATATCTCACTGATTCCTTACAACTACTCAGAGAGTGAGTTCTCTGATTATACAGATAAGTTAACTAGGGCTCAGGTCAAACCACTAAATGTCCCAGGATTACCACTCATCCTGTAAGTCTGCAGTCCCCAAGCCCCAGAGACTGGTCCATGGCCTGTTAGGGACCAGGCTAGGCCACAGAGCTGCCACCACACCCCTGCTATCTGTGGAAAAATTATCTTCTAGGAAACCTGTCTCTGGTGCCAAAAAGGTTGGGGACTGCTGCTGTAAGTGACAGACCTACAGCTAGAGATCCAAACACTGCTCTGACTACATCTAGAGCTGTGGTGTGCCAATTTCCTCTCACAAATACTGTGTAGTTGTTATTTTTATATTGCACTTTTTCCCCCCTCTGTACATGCCTTTTATTATTTATGTAATACAATATGGCATCAATGCTGAATGACATGATTATGTGCGATACATAAATATGAACTATCTGCAGGTCTAACTGAGAACTAAAGTATGTAAAATTAAAAGGAAAACTGAATGCTTGAAGAATAAAAATAAAAACTAGGACTGAACACTGCAATAAATCAGAAGTGTGGAGCCTTGTGTACATACTTAACTATTAACATGTAAAAAGAGGCATTACCACAACACTAATCTAACTATATGTATTTGTATATAAAAACATGTCATGAAAACCTCTCCATTATCAAGACAAGCATCAGTGAAATATACTGCCTTTTCTAATTGTTATTGTACATGTTATATGTAATGCAGCCCACGCAATACGCCTAAGAATACTGGAGTACTACACTCAAGTACAATTAATATGATAAAGCAGACTTTGATTTTGAAATAATTTTATACTTTCATAAAAATTTGCCTGTGGCTTTTATTTTATTTATTTATTTATTTAGAGACAAGAGTCTCACTTTGTTGCCCAGGCTAGAGTGAGTGCCATGGCGTCAGCCTTGCTCACAGCAACCTCAAACTCCTGGGCTCAAGGGATCCTCCTGCCTCAGCCTCCCGAGTAGCTGGGACTGCAGACATGTGCCACCATGCCCGGCTAATTTTTTTTGTATCTATATTAGTTGGCCAATTAATTTCTTTCTATTTATAGTAGAGATGGGGTCTCGCTCTTGCTCAAGCTGGTTTGGAACTTCTGACCTCTAGCAATCCGCCCACCTCGGCCTCCCAGAGTGCTAAGATAACAGGCGTGAGCCACTGGTGCCGCCGGCCTGCCTGTGGCTTTTAAAACAGTACAATACAGAGTTCTAAGTTTAATAATAGGAAAATAGAAAACATTATTAGAAATTGGAGTAATAAAGAAATTGCTCAAATATTTTGATTTAAGTAATAGGGATAGAAATAGAAAAATAGTATTTATATATCTTTAAATACCATGGTAGAACAAAAATGGAATAGTTTAAGGAAAACCTGAAAAAGCAAAATTCCTTTCTTTTCTGATATAGTTAGGTTTTTAACCTAATAGTATTTATTTTATGCTAATCGTCTTTATGTTTATGATTAATTAACTCTTGCAAATTCCAGTGTTTTTAATTGGCAGGTATACAATTGATAGTGTCATTTTGTTTTGCAGAATAATTCAGAGTTACATTTTACGGGAAGAGTCGGGCACACTTTCTTCAGAGGCATCGGATTATAACAAAGTCCATTTAAGTAAACGGGGTGGCATCATGGCATCTTTATATACATCCCATCCAGCTGATAGCGGATTAACATTGGAACTCTCTTTAGAGATCAACCGAAAATTACAGGCTGTTTTGGAAGATACACTACTAAAAAATATTACTTTGAAGGTATTTATTTCTCATTCACTTACCAACCAGTAAACATGGCAAAATGGTGCCTGTATCATCGTCTGACTTAACTGTTAAACGGGCTGTTTCTGTAATGCATGGTAGCTATTTTACCCAGAGATAAAGTTTTAATGTTTTTTTCTCTGTCACCTAGGCTAGAGTGCAGTGGCCCAATTATAGCTTACTGCAACCTCAAACTCTTGAGCTCAAGCAATCCTCCTGCCTCAGGCTCCCAAGTAGCTAGGACTACAGGCATGCGCCACCACACCCAGTTATTTTTTTAAAAATTTTTGTAGAGATGCGTTCTTGCTATGTTCCACATGCTGGACTCAAACTCCTGGGCTCCAGTGATCCTCCTGCCTTGGCCTTTCAAAGCACTGGGATTACAGGCATGAGCCACTGCACCTGGCCTGAAAAGTACAATTTTTTAAGCTAGTAAGAAAAGATGAAGAAATAGCAAAAATCAGCCATTTGATAAACACTAAGATGAGTTATTTACTTTGCAATACATGGCCTTTGACGTACACTTAGTTATAGTTAATTGCTAAATTTTTTAAGATTGTGGCATTTCCAATGTATTTTCCAGGTTTATTTTATTTTTTTCAGTTATTATCTGACCCAGCTATTTTATTTTTGCTGTGTTTGGGCCTTGATAGTAATGGGTTTAAAAACTAATTTTTAAATCTAGTAAGTAATCCTGTACTAAAAATTGCCGTAGCTTCAGTAGAAAGATTGACTATGACTGTGAAATGGACAAGACTGCTTTACTAAAAACTTGTGTGCCTAGTTTATCGCACTTGGCATTTAGGACTAATCACTCTTTCAGTTTCAAAATTTAGGCAAAAATAGTTCAAACTGAGTCTTTCTATTTGTTATACTTAGTAGTTCTGTTTTTCTCTTTTTCCTCCAATTTTTAAAGGAAAATCTACAAACGCTTGGAACAGAAATAGAACGTCTTATTAAACATCAGCATGAACTAGAACAGAGGACAAAGAAAACCTAACACAAAGCTCTTGCTCAGTAAACAAACAAAAACCACATAGGGGCAGGTGCCACTGACCAGTATTGTTGGAAACTTTTCCCTGCTTTGTGTGTCAGCCAGTAAAAAATTTGTTTTGCTTCATCTGTACAAAAAAAGCATCCTTTTACAATATGAATGCATTGCTATGTATACTGTAAGAGTGTAAGCTTTGATGAAAGTTGTTTTTGTATGGTACAGTACAGTAGCCTGTCATTGAATCTAAACAGCTTAATTGGCTCATAGTTGTATAAAATGCTGAACATGACTACAAGGGCTTTTAAAAGAAAAACTTTGTCCATATTTCTTCTCTTTAAAATAGAGAATGTCAAAAATGATTCAGGTTTTAAAAAGAATGCGTGAAAAGACAGGTGTTAATCATTCAGTACTATGCTGTTTCCCCAACATCAAGAAAACTAAAGAAATGATAACAATTTGTGTTTTGACATTCCATTGTAACATTTGGTTGTGTTTTAGGGATGCATATGATTACTTAAATATTTTAATTTCAATTTTAATGAAAATTATACCTAATAGGAAAGCTAGCTATTGGTAACTAGCAATGATTAGGCATTATATGCCTCTGTCAGGTTTCCTTATCTATGTTAGGTACATTTTTTCAGATTCGGATTGTTTGAGTTAATAGTTGAATTTTTTAAATCTTTAGTTACTTAAAATATGATTGTAAATTACATGTTCATTTAGACAATTCCTGTGGACTTCAGTTATATTTTAAAATGTGAAATGGAACTAATCATTAGAACAGAGAGATGAATAATTCTTTGAAACTGAAATACTTTAGTTTTATTGATATTGTGTAAAGATAAATGTAATAGTGTTTTAAGATATTTATGAAGATCTATTTCCCAAGAGAAATCAGCATATGGCACTATTAACCATTGAGCACCATTCTTTACTATTGATAGAAATAATTATGTATTATAGTGGAGTGATCATACAGTTCCCCTAAATGTGATGTTTTGGTATATTTATTTAAAACACAAAATAATTATATCTCTGTAACCAAAGGAATTTTAGAGCCAAATTTTTGTGTCTTGTTGGATTTTTGCAGTATTTATTTAAGATATACACTTAAATGTTGCCAGCCATAGTATCAATATTTTTATGTCATTGAATGTTTTCTCACCTCTTATAATTTCTGAGTATGATTTTTTATATTTCATTATGTTCAAATCATTACTATAATAAGATACCTTGGCTCATGTGCAGATATTGCAGCAGATCTCATTTTTATTTTGAATTTTTACATAATTTTTTCTCCCCTTTAGCAAATTAAGCTTTGGGATAATGGATTAAAAGCCTTCGAAGAATTGTGTGGGCTCTAAAAGTTGGGCTTATGGTGGCAATGTCCTTTTAATGTGTTTAAACATTTTTTTTTAAATCAACTTAACATTGTTTTAAAAGGTAATTTACTAAGGGTTTGGTGATTTAATGTAGTGTCTTATTTTTTCTATATATTAAGTTAGATGTTGTCAGCCAAAAACAAATACCATCTTTTCACTTCAAAATGAAAATACATTCAAAGACATTTTATTTTTAAAATAGTTGTAAAAAATATTGGTCTTACCATAATATGTCTTGCTCTTTTTTATTTATTTATTTTTTTTTTTTATTTTTTTTTTTTTTTGAGACAGAGTCTCGCTTTGTTGCCCAGGCTAGAGTGAGTGCCGTGGCGTCAGCCTAGCTCACAGCAACCTCAAACTCCTGGGCTCGAGTGATCCTTCTGCCTCAGCCTCCCGGGTAGCTGGGACTACAGGCATGCGCCACCATGCCCGGCTAATTTTTTTTTATATATATATCAGTTGGCCAATTAATTTCTTTCTATTTATAGTAGAGACGGGGTCTCGCTCTTGCTCAGGCTGGTTTTGAACTCCTGACCTTGAGCAATCCGCCCGCCTCGGCCTCCCAAGAGCTAGGATTACAGGCGTGAGCCACAGCGCCCGGCCTCTTTTTTATTAATAATAATTTATCAAGATAAAATACAAGAGAAAGTGTAAACAATCTGAATTATTTTTCCATTTGTTTCTAAATATACTAAACACTCCTAAAGACTACTTAGAGTAGGCAACATACCTAACTTTTTCTGGTTTCTTACATGATACAGATTCATAAAATAAAATATTTATTTTTTCTCAAGGCAGAAAGTGTATAATGGAGACCAAACAGTGATCAAATTCATAGTGTGTTATGCCTATACACTTTAAAGTAAATGTATATACATTTACTACAGACAAAAATGGGACATTCTAGTGTCAATATTTGTGTCATCATCTACTTAATAGTGAAGCAATTTTAGAAGAAAACTATCAAAAACCATATTTTGACTATGTTGTTACCTTTTTTCCCCATAAATTCTGAAGAAAATGCCTCATTTTCCTTTTGTTCTTCAGTATCTACTACATCTTTTTGTATATGGATCAGTACTGAGCAAAGTAAAATGTGCATATATCAGAGATACGTATCTAGACTGATTCACAAACAGCTCTGGATATGAGGATCTGAAGGGCCTTCTGCCTTTTACTCTATTGGTATGGAGAGAAGACTGGGGTGTCTGGAAAAGGAAGAATTGTCTAGATACTCCTGGCATCTGGAGGGTTTTATATGTTTATTATTAATTGTACACATTAAAGACTGTTTTGATTAGTTAGCAATATTTTGGTATCTTTGAGCAGGAAATTATTTTTGTGTATGTGTACACTTCACTGAGTTTTAATTTTAAATCAAATAGTTGCTGTGACTCCCTTTTTCCCCTACTACTTCAGACTTTTAGCCTGTTCAGTTTTAAAGATTGAAAATGATGAGTTTGGACAGAAGAATGAATTTGAACTTGGATGATGGCTTTTTGGTTTTTTGTTTTTATTTTCTGCATAACCATTTAAAGCTATTCAGCTTGAAATTAAATTTTATCAGGCTACCAACATGTCATTTATTCATTGAATAAATACATTTATTGAAAACTTATACTGTTTTATAGGCACCATACAGGGTATTGTGATTGTGTTAGTGAGCAGACCAGATGGGAAAGTTCTGTCCTCATGGAGCTCATGATCTTAATAAAAATAGCTGAGAGGCAGTAGCAGCAGGTCTTGGGCCTCTGTGGCTCATAACCAGCCCCTCAAAACTGAGCTGAAAAGAGAGTTAATCTACTTTTACAAGTACATGGCCCAGAAATCATACCCTGGCATGAAGCTTTGGAAAACTGAATCTTTGCTGAGGTATGCTGAGAGCAAATTGCTGTTCTCATGGTGGCTCTGCACATTTCCTAACTTTTGTCACAATTTGATGTTTATTCTTTAAGAAAAAGGAAAAATTCCAAAAATGATAAAATGGCGTTAGATTTTTACCATTTTAGTAAATTATTAATGCCTAATTGATGCTAGGAATGATGAATCTAATCATGTCGTCATGCATGTTTCTAAACTTTGTTTTGCAATATATTATTGTCTAAAAATTTTTACATGCAAATTTAGACCAAGATATATTAGAAGGAAAAAAATTGGAAACCGTTAATACTATGTTATATATGCTACCCTGGTAAAAATGTTTTTATAAATCATGTTGTCATCCATGCTTTGTTAATGTTGACTCCCGTAGCCTATTTTTCAATAACTTTTTTTTTAAAGCAAGTTTTTTTACACTAAGATTGTTAATTTTTAACTAACACCAGTTGGTGGCACTAAAAACCTGAACTTTTTCAAGGATGAACAAGAGAAATAATTGATAAAGTATCCAAATATGAGGAATCTTCAGGAAAACAAATGAAAAATATAATTGTATATAAAAGATGTATTTTTCTTCTGGAATGGAATTCTTTTTAAAAATGCATATGGCTGTCCATTTTGACTGCAGTGATGAAACTTGTTTATCTTCCGGAGGGCATATATATATGTGTGTGTGTGTGCACTGTACAGATAATCTTTAATTTGATTACACTGTTCATTTTGTAAATATGTTTCTGTAT